ACAAGATGCAGAATTAGACACTTGTGCAGCATCTGGGGGGTTTTTATTGCAGACGTTTCGCCCACCAGTGACTTTATCAACACCAACTCGAAAGCTGAGGGAATGATTACCTCACCTTTTGTATACAATTCTTCACATTTTGCCCTTGTATTGCACTGATAAAGGCACTGCATGGCGAAACATCTACACATAAATATACCCAGATGTTGCACATGTGTCTAATTCTAGATGTTTTTGAAACTAAACACGAGAGTACGGAGGTGGGGATGTTGTTGGGGATAGTGAGTGTACTCACTGTCCTCAACAACATCGAGGGGGTCGAGACTCAGGGGTCGAGACTCAGCTCTTGGCCTCGCCTCTTCACTGAGTGCTACTAGGTCCTCTCTCTCTCTGCTCCATGAGCTTTATCATACCTCATCTTAAAGCTATGTATGGTTCATGCCTCCACTACCTCACTTGCTAGGCTGTTCCACTTCCTGACTACTCTGTGACTGAAGAAATACTTCCTAGCATCCCTTTGACTCATCCGGGTATGTGGTATGTGGGTATGTGGTGATGCTGGAGCTCATCTCTGGGGGATGAGTATTTGGTGGTCATTGTTGATCACACAGTTTCGCTCACTGGTTCTCATCGACGTTTCTCTTCGTCAATCCATTCTGTGAAAAAAAAAACATAGCATTGTAAGATTTGTGTTTCTGTTGTAAATGTGGAAGAATAAATATAACAGAGAATCCTTGGTGCCGTTACACCTATATTGAGAATAATGTCTCTGGACTGAAGAAAAGTAAGTCTCAGCTGCCTTCCTTTCTTTCAAACTGCCTTCCCCCTCTCTGTCTCACTCTCTGTGTCTCCCGCTCTCTCTGTCTTCCTATCCCTGTCTCCCTCCTGCTACTGTGTAATTAACATAGTGTGTGGCAGCAGCACACTACTGATGTATCCACTTCTACTTTTATCTTGTTACCTCCCTTCTCTTATCTCCCTATCTAGTTACCTCCCTTCTCTTATCTCCCTATCTAGTTACCTCCCTTCTCTTATCTCCCTATCTTGTTACCTCCCTTCTCTTATCTCCCTATCTAGTTACTTCCCTTCTCTTATCTCCCTATCTAGTTACTTCCCTTCTCTTATCTCCCTATCTTGTTACCTCCCTTCTCTTATCTCCCTATCTTGTCACCTCTTATCAGTCTCTTTTTACCTTTCTCTCCTGCTTACATCTCTGTGTTACTTTTTGCTTGGGTTAGAGTACCGAGTAGTGTGTAACCATATCTGCCGAAGAGGACCTCACTGGAGGTCAAAATAGACAGTCAATAGCTCTTTCTTCTGTCTCCATGTGGCTAATGACCTTTATTTATTGCATTTATAATTTTTTTTCCTTCAATTAAGTTTTTTTAACACACAGGCCATTTCGCACCTAGGCAACGTGGGTCGAAAAGATGAAACACGTTCACCATCATTCATTCAGTCACCGTCGTGCCTGAAGTGTGCCGACATCGCTGTTCAGATGGCCATCCGAACTACAACATCCTCACCCATCCTTCAGATACAGGTACTATACTTCCCACCTCCAGGACTATAACATCCTCACCCATCCTTCAGGGTACAAGCATTGTACTTCCCACCTCCAGGACTGTAACATCCTCACCCATCCTTCAGGGTACAAGCATTGTACTTCCCACCTCCAGGACTATAACATCCTCACCCATCCTTCAGAGTGCAGGCACTGTACTTCCCGCTCCAGGACTGTAACATCCTCACCCATCCTTCAGAGTGCAGGCACTGTACTTCCCACCTCCAGGACTACAACATCCTCACCCATCCTTCAGAGTGCAGGCACTGTACTTCCCACCTCCAGGACTACAACATCCTCACCCATCCTTCAGAGTGCAGACATTGTACTTCCCACCTCCAGGACTGTAACATCCTCACCCATCCTTCAGAGTGCAGGCACTGTACTTCCCACCTCCAGGACTGTAACATCCTCACCCATCCTTCAGAGTGCAGGCATTGTACTTCCCACCTCCAGGACTGTAACATCCTCACCCATCCTTCAGAGTGCAGGCACTGTACTTCCCACCTCCAGGACTGTAACATCCTCACCCATCCTTCAGAGTGCAGGCACTGTACTTCCCACCTCCAGGACTGTAACATCCTCACCCATCCTTCAGGGTACAAGCATTGTACTTCCCACCTCCAGGACTGTAACATCCTCACCCATCCTTCAGGGTACAAGCATTGTACTTCCCACCTCCAGGACTGTAACATCCTCACCCATCCTTCAGAGTGCAGGCACTGTACTTCCCACCTCCAGGACTGTAACATCCTCACCCATCCTTCAGAGTGCAGGCACTGTACTTCCCACCTCCAGGACTGTAACATCCTCACCCATCCTTCAGAGTGCAGGCACTGTACTTTCCACCTCCAGGAATTATATCCGGCTAAATAATTTCCCATTGCTTCCTCTTGAGTCGCTATAACACGATTCCACAAATTCGCTGGATGTCCAGCCACAAGACAACAAAAACATTTCACTGCCTCCGTCCTCCTCGCTGCAACGTATAAAACCCACACTGAACACCTATGCAAGTGTTGGCACCACTATGCTCTGGAGTATTCCCCTTTTTGACTCCAAAGATCTAGTTGCCTTCTCAACACTCCTATTTTCTAATCTATATTTCAACTCGTCTTTCATAGTTGCATCTTCCCCCATATTCCCCACCTGATAATCAATCTTTCACTGCCTGCAGTTTGCGTTCTCTCGTTACTTTGCTGTTTATGAATGTTGATTGCCAGGATTGAATTTTTAACTCGGAGCGAAATATGAAGACAAATGGTCATTTCTGCGTCTGATGCAGTTTAATAGGTAACTGCAGTATAGAGCGAGGATTATCATGCTCCACCGATGGTGAGGATTGTGTCGGACTTGGCTAAACTTGGCTAAACTTGGCTAAACTTGGCATCTCAGATGTTCTTTTTTCCTTAACTGTATAATTAAATCTGGTGTTGCTTTAGTCAATTGTTTGTGACTTCCCTCAGCTACAACCAGCCACTGACTTCCCTCAGCTACATCCAGCCACTGACTTCCCTCAGCTACAACCAGCCACTGGCTTCCCTCAGCTACATCCAGCCACTGACTTCCCTCAGCTACATCCAGCCACTGACTTCCCTCAGCTACATCCAGCCACTGACTTCCCTCACTACAAACCCCCACTGACTTTCCCTCAGCTACAACCAGCCACTGACTTCCCTCAGCTACATCCAGCCACTGACTTCCCTCAGCTACAACCACCCTGGGTTCCCTCAGCTACCTCCAGCCACTGACTTCCCTCAGCTACATCCAGCCACTGACTTCCCTCAGCTACATCCAGCCACTGACTTCCCTCAGCTACAACCAGCCACTGACTTCCCTCAGCTACAACCAGCCACTGACTTCCCTCAGCTACATCCAGCCACTGACTTCCCTCACTACATCTAAACCCCTGACTTTCCCCCGCTACATCCAGCCTCTGACTTCCCCCAGCTACATCCAGCCACTAACTTCCCTCAGCTACATCCAACCACTGACTTCCCTCAGCTACATCCAGCCATGACTTCCCCAGCTACTTCAACCACTGACTTCCCTCACTCATCCAACCACTGACTTCCCTCCAAAATCCACCCCACTGACTCCCTCAGCACAACCAACCACTGACTTCCCTCAGCACAACTAACCATGTTAGAGCCCCCTTTTTCCCTGAATTGCCTCACCAACAACCAGCTTGTTTTTTTTTTCCCTGCTGTCTCCACCACGCCCTCCCCTGTTGCTCTCCATTTGCTGCCCTCTACCTCGCTCTCCCCCTGCTGCCCTCCACCTCTGCCCCCCCCGCCCTCCACCCCTCCTCCACTGCTGCCCCCTGCTGCCCTCCACCTCCTGCCCCCCACCTCGCCCCCACCCCCCTACCCCCACCGCTGCCCTCCACCCCCTACCCTTCCCCCCGCCCCCCACCTGCTGCCCCTCCACCTGCTGCCCCCCCACCCGCTGCCCCCCACCTGCGCCCCTCACCTCACAAACATCTTAAATTTTATACAGTTCTCGCCCCTTTTCACCAATTCTTAGTCTTTAAGCGGAAAAACTTGCACATTTTACAAAAACATAACTTAAAATAAAACAGGTGGGTAACGACCTCATTTTATTTTTATAAAACAAACCTACAAATTAGGTGAAAGTTATGTTAAAATGTTTTTTTTGTTTTATGGCTGAAAATTTTTTTTATTTTTTATATTAGTCCCAATAAAACATTAATTATTATTACTATTATTTTATATTTTATTATTATTTTTATTTTAAAATTTTTATTATTTTATTATTTTATTATATTTTTTTTTTTATTATTATTTTACTTTTATTTTGATAACTTGAGTCGCCCACCTGTCTCTCTCAGCCAGTCATGTGGCTTATAACTTGTGACGTCATGGTAACTCCTCCCCCAAGCCTCGCAGCTGACCAATGAGAAGTGCAACTGATGTTATTGTACCCTCCCCCCATCCCCCACCCTCTTCCCTGCAGCTGTCCAATGAGGTAACAGGTGACGTAACTGCATCCTGAAGCTGACCAATGAGATCCCAGATGACGTAAATGAATCCTGCAGCTGACCAATGATGTCTCAGGTGATGTAAATGAGTCCTGCAGCTGACCAATGAGATCCCAGATGACGAAAATGAATCCTGCAGCTGACCAATGATGTCTCAGGTGATGTAAATGAGTCCTGCAGCTGACCAATGAGATCCCAGATGACGAAAATGAATCCTGCAGCTGACCAGTAAGATCCCAGATGACGTAACTGTATCCAGCAGCTGACCAATAGGATGCAGCCGTCCATAAAACCTTCAGAACAGAGGTTGAAAAATACATAGGATTAAGAAGTTCCTCCCACGTAAGATGAGAGAGAGAGGAAGGGATGCAAGGGGTGGGTTGGTGGGTGGTGGGTGGGCGACACTACATATATAGGGTGGGTTGGTGGGTCCAGGAGCTCATACATTCTGCTCCCTCAAGACTGGTAACATTGACTGACAGTGTTGGTCATGTTGTTGTCCAGTTTAGTGTTGATGCTGCTGCCATTACTGTGTCATGCTGCCACCCTCACCCTGCCCACCCTCACAGGTCAGTTGTATGCTGCCATCCTCACCTTGCCCACCCTCACAGGTCAGTTGTATGCTGCCACCCTCACCCTGCCCACTCTCACAGGTCAGTTGTATGCTGCCACCCTCACCCTGCCCACCCTCACAGGTCAGTTGTATGCTGCCACCCTCACCCTGCCCACCCTCACAGGTCAGTTGTATGCTGCCATCCTCACCCTGCCCACCCTCACAGGTCAGTTGTATGCTGCCACCCTTACCCTGCCCACTCTCACAAGTCAGTTGTATGCTGCCACCCTTACCCTGCCCACTCTCACAGGTCAGTTGTATGCTGCCATCCTCACCCTGCCCACCCTCACAGGTCAGTTGTATGCGGGCCACCCTTACCCTGCCCACTCTCACAGGTCAGTTGTATGCTGCCATCCTCACCCTGCCCACCCTCACAAGTCAGTTGTATGCTGCCACCCTTACCCTGCCCACACTCACAGGTCAGTTGTATGCTGCCATCCTCACCCTGCCCACCCTCACAGGTCAGTTGTATGCTGCCACTCTCACCCTGCCCACCCTCACAGGTCAGTTGTATGCTGCCACCCTCACCCTGCCCACCCTCACAGGTCAGTTATATGTTGCCTTCCTCACACTGCCCACCCTCACAGGTCAGTTGTATGCTGCCACCCTCACCCTGCCCACCTTCACAGGTCAGTTGTATGCTGCCATCCTCGCCCTGCCCACCCTCACAGGTCAGTTGTATGCTGCCATTCTCACCCTGCCCACCCTCACAGGTCAGTTGTATGCTGCCACCCTCACCCTGCCCACCTTCACAGGTCAGTTGTATGCTGCCATCCTCACCCTGCCCACCCTCACAGGTCAGTTGTATGCTGCCACCCTCACCCTGCCCACCCTCACAGGTCAGTTGTATGCTGCCATCCTCACCCTGCCCACCCTCACAGGTCAGTTGTATGCTGCCACTCTCACCCTGCCCACCCTCACAGGTCAGTTGTATGCTGCCACCCTCACCCTGCCCACCCTCACAGGTCAGTTGTATGCTGCCACCCTCACCCTGCCCACCCTCACAGGTCAGTTGTATGCTGCCACCCTCACCCTGCCCACCCTCGCAGGTCAGTTGTATGCTGCCACTCTCACCCTGCCCACCCTCACAGGTCAGTTGTATGCTGCCACCCTCACCCTGCCCACCCTCACAGGTCAGTTGTATGCTGCCATCCTCGCCCTGCCCACCCTCACAGGTCAGTTGTATGCTGCCACCCTCACCCTGCCCACCCTCACAGGTCAGTTGTATGCTGCCACCCTCACCCTGCCCACCCTCACAGGTCAGTTGTATGCTGCCATCCTCACCCTGCCCACCCTCACAGGTCAGTTGTATGCTGCCACCCTTACCCTGCCCACCCTCACAGGTCAGTTGTATGCTGCCATCCTCACCCTGCCCACCCTCACAGGTCAGTTGTATACTGCCACCCTCACCCTGCCCACCCTCACAGGTCAGTTGTATGCTGCCATCCTCACCCTGCGCACCCTCACAGGTCAGTTGTATGCTGCCATTCTCACCCTGCCCACCCTCACAGGTCAGTTGTATGCTGCCACCCTCACCCTGCCCACCCTCACAGGTCAGTTGTATGCTACCATCCTCACCCTGCGCACCCTCACAGGTCAGTTGTATGCTGCCATTCTCACCCTGCCCACTCTCACAGGTCAGTTGTATGCTGCCACCCTCACCCTGCCAACCCTCACAGGTCAGTTGTATGCTGCCACCCTCACCCTGCCCACCCTCACAGGTCAGTTGTATGCTGCCATCCTCACCCTGCCCACCCTCACAGGTCAGTTGTATGCTGCCACCCTCACCCTGCCCCCCCCTCACAGGTCAGTTGTATGCTGCCACCCCTCACCCTGCCCACCCTCACAGGTCAGTTGTATGCTGCCATCCTCACCCTGCCCACCCTCACAGGTCAGTTGTATGCTGCCACCCTCATCCTGCCCACCCTCACAGGTCGGTTTTATGCTGCCATCCTCACCCTGCCCACCCTCACAGGTCAGTTGTATGCTGCTATCCTCACCCTGCCCACTCTCACAGGTCAGTTGTATGCTGCCACCCTCACCTTGCCCACTCTCACAGGTCAGTTGTATGCTGGCCACCCTCACTCTGCCCACCCTCACAGGTCAGTTGTATGCTGCCATCCTCACCCTGCCCACCCTCACAGGTCAGTTGTATGCTGCCCACTCTCACCCTGCCCACCCCTCACAGGTCAGTTGTATGCTGCCCACCCTCACCCTGCCCACCCCTCACAGGTCAGTTGTATGCTGCCACCCTCACCCTGCCCACCCTCACAGGTCAGTTGTATGCTGCCATCCTCACCCTGCCCACCCTCACAGGTCAGTTGTATGCTGCCATCCTCACCCTGCCCACCCTCACAGGTCAGTTGTATGCTGCCATCCTCACCCTGCCCACTCTCACAGGTCAGTTGTATGCTGCCACCCTCACCCTGCCCACTCTCACAGGTCAGCTGTATGCTGCCCACCCTCACCCTGCCCACCCTCACAGGTCAGTTGTATGCTGCCACCCTCACCCTGCCCACCCTCACAGGTCAGTTGTATGCTGCCCACTCTCACCCTGCCCACCCCTCACAGGTCAGTTGTATGCTGCCCACCCTCACCCTGCCCACCCCTCACAGGTCAGTTGTATGCTGCCACTCTCACCCTGCCCACCCTCACAGGTCAGTTGTATGCTGCCACCCTCACCCTGCCCACCCTCACAGGTCAGTTGTATGCTGCCACCCTCACCCTGCCCACCCTCACCCTGCCCACCCTCACAGGTCAGTTGTATGCTGCCACCCTCACCCTGTCCACCCTCACAGGTCAGTTGTATGCTGCCCACTCTCACCTTGCCCACCCCTCACAGGTCAGTTGTATGCTGCCACCCTTACCCTGCCCACCCTCACAGGTCAGTTGTATGCTGCCCACTCTCACCCTGCCCACCCCTCACAGGTCAGTTGTATTCTGCCCACCCTCACCCTGCCCACCCCTCACAGGTCAGTTGTATGCTGCCCACCCTCACCCTGCCCACCCTTACAGGTCAGTTGTATGCTGCCCACTCTCACCCTGCCCACCCCTCACAGGTCAGTTGTATGCTGCCACCCTCACCCTGCCCACCCTCACAGGTCAGTTGTATGCTGCCACCTTCACCCTGCCCACCCTCACCCTGCCCACCCTCACAGGTCAGTTGTATGCTGCCACCTTCACCCTGCCCACCCTCACCCTGCCCACCCTCACCCTGCCCACCCTCTCACTAAACTATAATGTGAATGTAACACAGAACTGTTACTAACTATATTGGTCAGTGATTAAAGTAAGATAAGATAAGATTTCGTTCGGGTTTTTAACCCCGGAGGGTTAGCCACCCAGGATAACCCAAGAAAGTCAGTGCGTCATCGAGGACTGTCTAACTTATTTCCATTGTAGTCCTCAATCTTGTCCCCCAGGATGCCACCCACACCAGTCGACTAACACCCAGGTACCTATTTGCTGCTAGGTGAACAGGACAACAGGTGTAAGGAAACGTGTCGAAATGTTTCCACCCGCCGGGAATCGAACCCGGGCCCTCCGCGTGTGAAGCGGGAGCTTTAGCCACCGGCCACCTATTTGTGGTTTCAGGGGTCGATTCACAGCTCCTGGCCCCGCCTCTTTGCTACTCGCTACTAAGTTCACTCTCTCCCTGCTCCATGAGCTTTATCATACCTCTTCTTGAAGCTATTAAGTTTATTCTCTATAAGGATTACAATGCTGAGTTTACAGAATTTGGTTATTGTTTGGTTTACATGTAGTAAAATAATGATTACAGAGTGTACCACTAGAACACCTAGCATGGCTAGGCATTTCGGGCAGACTTAGTTTAATTCTTAATTTTAAAATATTACAAATTATGAGGTAAGTTGGTATTATGGCTAAGTGACTAAATACTAGTTTGTGAGTTTAGCAATGTGAATGCTTTTGTTTTGGCACTATACATAGTTTCAGTATTGGAGTATCACAGGATTCATTATTTTAAGATTGAGATTAATATTTCTGTTTATGGTCAAATGAGTAAGTGAGTGTAAGTGTGAACCACCAGGTGGTATTCGTGTAGTTAGTTGACGGGGTGTATCAGGGAGATAAGATGTTTTCTAATGGTAGTTTTTTAAGGTGATGAATGTGTCTGCAGTTCTGAGTTCTCAGGTAGGGTGTTCCAGATTTTAGGTCCTTTGACATACATTGAATTTTGTAAAAGGGTTTAGTCGGACACGGGGAATGTCATAGAGATGTTTGTGTCTGGTGTTATGCCTGTGGGTTCTGTCACAACTGTCAAGAAAGCATTTTAGGTCAAGGTTGATATTAGAGTTTAAGGTCCTGTAGATGTAGATTGCACAGTAGTAAGTGTGGATGTACTGAACAGGGAGTAAGCTTAGATCTATGAAGAGTGGGGGGGTGTGTTGCCAGGGATGGGATTTAGTGATTATTCTTACTGCAGCTTTTTGTTGGGTTATTATTGGCTTTAGGTGTGTTGCTGCAGTTGATCCCCAAGCACAAATAGCATAGGTGAGGCATGGATAAATAAGTGAGTGGTTATAGTGTGAGAAGGGCATTTTGCGGCACGTAGTATCGTATCTTGGAGAGGATCCAACCGTTTTGGATACTTTTTTGGTTATGTGTTGGATATGGGTGCTGAAAATTCAGGTTGTTGTCAAGGTATAGGCCTAGAATTTGCCCTCATTATGTCTGGTAATTAAGTGTTGTCGAACTTAATGTTAATTTGTGCATCTCCTGCTCTGCTACCAAACATAATATAGTAGGTTTTGTCAGTGTTAAGCGTAAGTTTATTGGCTGTCATCCAAGTCGATATTTTGATCAGCTCCTCGTTAACAATGGTGTTGAGGGTGGCAAGATTAGGGTGAGAGATGACGTAAGTCGTGTCGTCAGCAAAGAGAGTGGGTTTCAGGTGTTGGGATACGTTTGGAAGATCATTGATGTATATGAGGAAGAGCAGGGGACCAAGGACACTTCCCTGCGGAACTCCAGTATCAAGTGGTCATGTTGTTGATGCTGTGTCTTTAATGGTAACATACTGATACCTATTAGTAAGGTAAGATTTGAAATAAGCAAGCGCATGGCCTCTTATACCATAATGGTCAAGTTTGTGGAGTAGGATGTCGTGGTCTACTGTGTCAAAAGCTTTTCTTAGGTCAATAAAAAATTCCTAGTGGATATTCCTTATTTTCCAATGCTGTGTAAAGCAGATCTAGCATTTTTATGATTGCATCATTAGTGCTTTTATTTCTCCTGAATCCAAATTGGCAGGGGTTGAGTATGTTTTGTGTTGTTATAAATGAATATAGTCTCCTGTGCACGAGTTTCTCAAAGATTTTGGATAGCAAAGGTAAGTTTGTATTGGCCTATAGTTGTTTAAGTCTGTAGGGTCACCTCCTTTATGTATTGGTGTAACCCTTGCCATCTTGAGTAGTTTCGGGAAGGTGCTAGTTTCTAGTGACTTGTTAAAAGTAATGAAATAGCATGCGAAAGGACAAGGGCCGCTCGCTTGTACAGTAATGGTGGGACATGAGACAGATTCCCCGAGTTATTTTTAAGTGACTTATAAATCTCTGGTGACTTCCGTGGCTCATTTGGTGCAAGATAAAGAATTTGGGAAATCCCATCTATGGTACCGCCTCCCGGCATGGCATTGTATGGTTATTTATTGCGAATAGTCTATGTGAGAAGAAGTCTAATCTTGTAACATCGCTGTGACTCAGTGGAGATGTAGTGGAGCTTTCAGTGGTTTAGGTTAGGACAAATTCTTGGTTTTTTTCAGTTTGTGTGGTCCCTATGTATGGATCTGCTCCACTACATCTTCGCAACTGTTCCCCTTCCTGACAGCCTGTGACTGAAAAAATACTCCAAACATCTGTGACTCCTGAAATTCACTTCCAGGTGTGTCCCTTTGTTGTTGTGTCCCCTTGTTGCTGTGTCCCCTTGTTGCTGTGTCCCCTTGTTGCTGTGTCCCCTTGTTGCTGTGTCCCCCTTGTTGCTGTGTCCCCTTGTTGCTGTGTCCCCTTGTTGCTGTGTCCCCTTGTTGTGTGTCCCCTTGTTGCTGTGTCCCCTTGTTGCTGTGTCCCCTTGTTGCTGTGTCCCCTTGTTGCTGTGTCCCCTTGTTGCTGTGTCCCCTTGTTGCTGTGTCCCCTTGTTACTGTGTCCCCTTTTGTCTGTGTCCCCTTGTTGCTGTGTCCCTTTGTTGCTGTGTCCCTTTGTTGCTGTGTCCCTTTGTTGCTATGTCTCCTTGTTGCTGTGTCGCATCTCTCTGTCCTTATCCAGCTTGTCAATTCCTCTCAATATCTTGTTAATCGTTATCATGTCTCCCTCTACCCCTCCTGTCCTCCAGTGTTGTCTGGTTGACTTCTCTTAACCTCTCCTCGTAGGACATTTACCTTAGCCTTGGACTAGTCGTGTTGCAAACCTTTGCACTTTCTCTAATTTCTTGACGTGCTTGACCAAGTGTAGGCTCCATACTGGTGCTGCATACTCCAGTATGAGCCTGACGTACACGATATACAGTCTTGAAAGCTATTCTTAGACTCTTCAGGAAACCATATGCTACAGCTGTGAGTGTAGGTCTGTGAGTGTAGGTCTGTGAGTGTAGGTCTGTAAGTGTAGGTCTGTGAGTGTAGGTCTGTGAGTGTAGGTCTGTGAGTGTAGGTCTGTGAGTGTAGGTCTGTGAGTGTAGGTCTGTGAGTGTAGGTCTGTGAGTGTAGGTCTGTAGGTAGTCTGTGAGTGTAGGTCTGTGAGTGTAGGTCTGTGAGTGTAGGTCTGTGAGTGTAGGTCTATGAGTGTAGGTCTGTGAGTGTAGGTCTGTGAGTGTAGGTCTGTGAGTGTAGGTCTGTGAGTGTAGGTCTGTGAGTGTAGGTCTGTGAAGTGTAGGTCTGTGAGTGTAGGTCTGTGAGTGTAGGTCTGTAGAGTGTAGGTCTGTGAGTGTAGTCTGTAAGTGTAGGTCTGTGAGTGTAGGTCTGTGAGTGTAGGTCTGTGAGTGTAGGTCTGTAAGTGTAGGTCTGTGAGTGTCGGTCTGTGAGTGTAGGTCTGTGAGTGTAGGTCTGTAAGTGTAGTGTGAGTGTGGCTGTGAGTGTAGGTCTGTAAGTGTAGGTCTGTGAGTATCGGTCTGTGAGTGTAGGTCTGTGAGTGTAGGTCTGTGAGTGTAGGTCTGTAAGTGTAGGTCTGTGAGTGTAGGTCTGTAGTGTAGGTCTGTGAGTGTAGGTCGTAAGTGTAGGTCTGTAGTACGGTCTGTGAGTGTAGGTCTGTAGTGTAGTCTGTAGTGTAGGTCTGTAGAGTGTAGGTCTGTAAGTGTAGGTCTGTGAGTGTCGGTCTGTGAGTGTAGGTCTGCGAGTGTAGGTCTGTAAGTGTAGGTCCGTGAGTGTCGGTCTGTGAGTGTAGGTCTGTGAGTGTAGGTCTGTAAGTGTAGGTCTGTGAGTGTAGGTCTGTGAGTGTAGGTCTGTGAGTGTAGGTCTGTGAGTGTAGGTCTGTGAGTGTAGGTCTGTGAGTGTAGGTCTGTAAGTGTAGGTCCGTGAGTGTCGGTCTGTGAGTGTAGGTCTGTGAGTGTAGGTCTGTAGGTGTAGGTCTGTGAGTGTAGGTCTGTGAGTGTAGGTCTGTGAGTGTAGGTCTGTGAGTGTAGGTCTGTGAGTGTAGGTCTGTAAGTGTAGGTCCGTGAGTGTCGGTCTGTGAGTGTAGGTCTGTGAGTGTAGGTCTGTAGGTGTAGGTCTGTGAGTGTAGGTCTGTGAGTGTAGGTCTGTGAGGAGCACTGGGTTGCTGCTGCTGATCTCTGACCATCCAGGTTGTTGCTGCTGCTGATCTCTGACCATCCAGGCTGTTGCTGGTCTCTGACCATGCAGGCTGTTGCTGCTGTTGTTTGAATTTTTAGTAAACTAGAATATAAATTTTTAGCTGAAGGAGAAGTTTGATCCCCGAGTCAGTAATCTATATGGTAAATTGTGTTGATGGTGAGAGTCAGCCGGTCCACCCACCAGCTGGCTGGTCCACCCACCAGCTGGCTGGTCCACCCACCAGCTGGCTGGTCCACCCACCAGCTGGCTGGTCCACCCACCAGCTGGCTGGTCCACCCACCAGCTGGCTGTCCACCACACCAGCTGGCTGGTCCACCCACCAGCTGGCTGGTCCACTCACCAGCTGCTGGTCCACCCACCAGCTGGCTGTCCACCCACCAGGCTGGCTGGTCCACCACCAGCTGGCTGGTCACCACATAGCTGCTGGTCCACCCACAGGCTGGTGTAGTCCACCCCAGCTGGCTGATCCACCCACCAGGCTGGCTGGTCCACCCACAGGCTGGCTGTCCATCCACAGGCCTGGCTGGTCCACCCACAGCTGCTGGTCCACCCACAGTCTTTGTTGGTCCCCCACAGGCTGGATTAATCCACGCTGGCTGTGGTCCACCCACAGGCGGTTAGTCCACCCACACCTGGCTGTCTCCACACCACAACTGGCTGGTCCACCCACATTTGTGTCCAACTGGAGTAATACGAGCTGGTCACTGCAAAGCCACCATCCACATCCTGGTCTCTAACACACACACCGCGCAGCACACAAAAGTAGAGTATCAGTCCAAATTTGGAACCACACGTCAAGCACGTCCCTGATATAGAGAAAGTCAAAGTTTGTCAACAAAGACAAGTCCAGTGCTAAGGGAAATGTCCTACAAAGAAACTTAGGAAATAGGCTAGGACACATGGTAGACAGGGTTAGGGGAGACATGATAACGACTTATAAAATACTGCGAGGAATTGACAAGGTGGACAGAGACAGGATGTTCCAGAGATGGGACACAGAAACAAGGGGTCACAATTGGAAGTCGAAGACTCCTATGAGTCAAAGGGATGTTAGGAAGTAGTTCTTCAGTCATAGAGTTGTTAGGAAGTGGAACAATCTGCAGAGAGATGTAGTGGAGACAGGATCCACGCATAGCTTTAAGAAAAGGTATGATAAAGCTCATGGAACAGGGAGAGAGTGACCTAGTAGCGACCAGCGAAGAGGCAGAGCCAGGAGCTATGATTCGACCCCTGCAGCCACAAATAGGTGGGTACACACAAAAACACACATATACATACATACACTTTTAAAAATCTCTCTTCTGACTGACCTCAAAAGCTGAAGATTATTGTCTACACAATATTGATACACATTTGACGATTTTGTGTGAAATTGGGGAATATTATTCCCATTAAATCACATTAAATATACCCTATTATGCCTCTTTTGAATGGTTGAGTGTATTAAAATATGACAAACTGATGTAACTTAACACTCCTAAGAGGTGCTGGGCATTTCTGTGTGATATCTCTGTGTAATGGTACTATTGCTACCTTGGTTACCTAGCAGTAAATAGGTACTGCTTGGTAGACTTGTGGGTGACATCCTGGTTAACGACATCACAGGACCTTACTGGAAATAAGCAACATTGATTGGGTTGATTAGATTATATTGGTTTTACATCATTAATAATCCAGATAATCTTCATCCAAGATGCGTGTGTGTTTATATATTTGTTGGTACTGTACCAGTTACTTTGTGTGATATACAAATATTTAATATACTTTAACAGAGTGGTCAGGATTCTCTCGTATGGTAAACCAGTCCTGAAACTAGCAGGCCTGGTGCTCTAACTACTGTACCATGGTTGGGCTAGCATGGTACAGTGATTATTCACCTCAGAATCACCAGCTAGCTTTAGTAGTGGCTTGTAATGGGTTGTAATCCTGCCCATTCCCTTTTTTACAATTTAGCAGAAGTCATCTGTAATACTCTGTCACTGCCCCATCAGACAGCAAGGAGCCCAGCAGACGAAATTGGCCCATGGACAACAGCTTACAGACATTACACTGGTTAAAGATGCTGCTGGGAGAGCACCCAGACCTTGGGGAAGACCATTCTGTCTTTGATGTTCACAAGAGTCGACCAGATGTCCGTCCTATATTGAAGATCAAGCGCACTGAAGGCAAGATTCCAACCATGGACATGGGCCTCGGTAAGAGGTCTTCGGCTTACGTCCCGTATTTTAGTTTAGGTTAGTGATGTATATTCTTAGCAGCACTTCACAGGAAACATAGTTTTAAAATTATGATAATGGCTGCAGTCTGACATATGGTAGGACAGACACAGCATATTTGTAATGAGGGAATGCTAAACCCATAAGGGGTTCATACAGCAATTTGAGGAATAGAAGGCAGTCTGATTCGATGAAAAGAAAGGTAGGATAGCTCCTATTCTTTGGATCAAGAGCACTTCACTGGTTTAAAGGCATCTCCTTTGAGGATGATGTGTAATACTGCACTATACTTTGTACTGAAGTTTTGCTTGCAAGTCTTATCACTCCCATGAAATGATGAGTAGAAAAAGTCTCATTAAACATCTCGGTGCAGTACTGCACATATCTTAATACACATTTATCAGCATTAATACCATTTCTTATCTATTCATACGTTTCACAAATTGGGGCTTTATCCAGCACTTAATAAAGCCCCGAGTGGATGAAACGCTCTGTGAATAAAAGATTTTGCCAAGTGTCTCTCCACTAAATTACATGTTTTAAAGGAGGAACCTGTGTAACATCAGCTTTGCTAGCGAGTTATATTTATAGAAAGGCGCTATATTTACAGGGGTCATATAATAACTGGTGAATGGTTGGTAATCAAGTTTAACCAAATTTCTATAATAATCATGAGATTATAATCGAAGAAAGCACTAAATGTTTAATGTTCATCTAGGAGGATATTTTATTACATGCAGGGGGATGAGCTAAATCAGTATGGGTATTACAGCACCAGGGAAATGGGAGTCAATCAGATTCATTCCATGGAAAGTTAAGGTAGTTATCATTACTATAATGAAAACCAAGTGGTAAATCCACAAGGTAGGGTAGTTATAATGGATCAATAGGTTTTTACCCTTCCTTGAAAGAAGATAATCATGAGGAAATACTAAACCCACAGGTGTCATGCAGCATGAGAAACTAGAGGTAATCAGTTTACTCCAGAGAAGCGTAGCTCTAATTCCTTGGATCAGATCTCCTCACCAGTCTAGAGGAACATCATTTGACAAGAACACTGATTACTATCGAGCCTTTTTCAATAAATAAAACATGGCAAAAATTTCTTTATATAATATATATTATTGGTATTGGTGTACTGTATTCCTGCTGATGTTAACTTACAACACTGCTGTGGGTACACTGGTGGTAACGGTGGCAGGTGGGCCGGCAGGTGTGCTTTCCGACATGAGGAAATTCTTCAATGAGCTGCGAACAAACCTGGACAGTGTGGAAGAGGTTGCTGCCCTCAGTCAGGAGCAGGGTGGTGTGCTTGACCCAGCAGAGTTCCTCGCACTTCTCGCCAAGCATGGAGGTCAGTAAATATCCTTGCCATCCCATTCATCCAGCTAGTATGTTGGCACCAGCAATTGCTGTTAATGCAGGCAGGGCACTTCACATACAAATTATGAATTAAACATTATAGTTGGTGCACCAAGAGTTTAGCTGTGCTCGAAAAATTGCAAATAGATAATTAATGGTCATTGGAGGGGTGCTAAACCTGAAGTTGTATAGCACAAGAGAATGGGAAGTAATCAGGTTTGATTTGAAGGGAATAGGAACTCCAATTCCTTATTTAAAGCCCTTCACAAACATCCTGACACTCCACCTTGAAGGAAGATCACAGAGCCCCACTTGAGATTGTGACAATATTGTACAGCACAGTTCTGTAGCTATATTTTAGTGCAGACTGAATAGTTTGAAATGACATGTTGGTATTCATTTTCCATTTTTAAATGTTACATTATTACCATTTAAGAAAATATCAATTATATTTGTTGATTGTTGACTAAGATTGCATTCACAGCACGGATGCAGGCTAAGGAAGGCAGTATAGGCCACCCACCACCAGTCATCCACACTGGTCAACACATGTTTGGCTATGCCACTGATGACCAGCCTTATGCTCACTCTGGCCTGGGAAAGTAGAAGTGTTGTGGCATAAGACCAGCAGCACAAGAGTCAAGTGGAACTGCAGGAGATTGCCCGTCCTGATAACCACACCCCGGCCTTAGCAGCAAACACTAAAGCAATTTGTGTTAAGCGTCCATTTTTTTGCTAGGGTGTTAACACAGGTCTACCAGCAGGTTGCAAAATGAAATTTTGTCTTCACTTGACCATATGTGACAATGTACATGAAAATGTATTTCTTTACTCAATTTTTACTTGAGAGAAATGCTGAAACACAAAATAAAATATTATGATAGCAGCCCCTCAGTGTGAACTTATCCATGTACTTTTGATACAAAAGATTTATTATTTGACCACATGTCTCTTTGTAAAATATTGCTCATTGATTCATCAAAATTATTTTTATTACACTGATTGAGAAATATTAACCCGTAAACGGTTCAAACGTATATATACGTTTTTTCAACATTTGAAAGTATGTAAAAAAAGTAATTTTTTTTTTTTTACATTTGAAAATGTGTAAAAAACTTTGATCTACTTTTTTTTTGTTATATTTGAAAATATGTAAAAAAAACGTAGATCTACTTTTGGAGCGCTACACGTGAACGTAGATCTGCCTGGACAGTTTATGGGTTAAATAAAAAAAGAAGCATAAAGAGCCTAGGGAATCTGATTTTATCAAAGAAAAGGAAAGGTAGCTCCAATTCTTTGGATCAAGAGCTCTTCACCAGAATCACAGCAGCTTTGGAAAGGAGTCTCATTAATAAATTTGCTGCCAATCTTATTATTGGTAGATAGTTATATTTTATTAATGGGAAAGCATTAAATCCATAAGTCATACAGTGCCTGAGGAAGTAATTGGGTTCAATCCAAAGGTAGGGCAGCTTCAGTTCCTTGGATGAAAAGCTTTTTCTGGCATCAAGGTACCTTACCCCCCTTGAAGGACATACCTTACTTGCCTAGCCTGCAGAGAAGTTTTAAATTAGTGAGATTTTTACCTTGTTTTGCTGTGCAGCAAAAATGCTGGCAACACCAGTATCCTATATTTATTTTCTTCTACAACACTGAGTGAAAACGCTAAACAATAGGAAATGAAAATTAAAATAACGTATGTGCAGACTGTGTGTATGATGTTCCAGCCACAGTATTGCCTTTTTATTAACTGAAAAAAGTTTTGTATGAGCAAAGTTTTTGCTTGTATAAGATGATCTACACTAACACAGGATAGTATGAGGCTACACAACCACCTTTCCTACAGGATGACCTTAAATGGCTGTAGAAGAATCTGGATTGGCTAGATGAGGACCTTGAAAGGCTCAAGAATAGTCATAAGTGTTTACTAAGATTATAATATTCACAGGTTACAGTTATACCCACTAAGGAATCATAAAAATATAATCACACTAAGCGCTAAACTCAAAAAAGTCATTAAGGATCATAAAATGCCCGGAGAAGAGATTGGGGGCCATAAAGCTTTATCCAAGGAAGGAGAAAGGGAAGTGCAAATTCCTTGGGTAAAGAGCCCTTAACCAGCATCAAGGCACTGCACCTTGAAAGGTGGCTATTAAGTTTCAACACAGCAAGTACAGTACAACTTAAGGAAGGTACTTATTAAAGAAAGGAGATAATCAGATTTGATCCAATGAAAGTAATTCCCACAGGAAGCCTTTAGCATCAATGTTACATTTCATACCTACATTGTCTATTTCTCATGAACAAAAATTACAACTCGGGATACAAAAAAGCAGTTACATTGGTCACTCATTTATTAGCGGCATAAGCCTTTGAAGACCAAATACTCTTCTACATAAAAATGAGTTCTAGATTCTGAAATTCTAAGCATTATTAACAAGGCTGCTCCTCTGCAATGATAGGCAGCCATGCAGGGAGCAAGATCCATTCTTCCTATCCTCACACAACTTAAGAACTTAATCATGTCCTATCGCACATCAACTTTACAATTTACTGTTACGTCTACCCTCAAAATGTACAGTTAAATAGCACTACTTACCATAAAATCTGACAACTGATATACAGAATTCCTATCTTCACAAAGAAAAAAAAAAAAAAAAAATACCCTTCATGCTTTCTAGCAAGCATGTAAACTTTCTGTAAGTAAATACCATGGTGCCAAATTTACCTTACTCTAATACATGGTTCATACTACAGTCTTAGTTTAACTATAGCTTCGGCATATGTAACAGCATTTTTTAGATGACATAATACTGAATCATTCATCTGACAAGCACACCATCTGCAATGTTCACAGCCAATCACGTTAATAACAAAGTTGTACAAGGACAGGTGATACAGTAATTAACCTCGCATATCAACATCAAAGATTTCCTTGTTATAAGAGATTAAATCTGGATTACACAGCAAGCAATCACTCGCAGAAAATGAAATTAATCTACATTTAATGACTGATGGAAAATGATAATGAATGAAATTAACTAAATATCAACATTATCTGACTATTAATGTATGTTATGTGGATGACAATAATATAACAAGATAAAAACCTAGTAATATCACCTAAGACAGTGTGACAGACTGCCGTAATCATAATATACAATATTAGGTATCATCTTGTCTAAATTGTAAGGTAAAGAAAATGAATGCTGAAGCACCAATTATGTGATGCAGTTTTCAGAAGCATGGTCTTTGATGCATGAAGAAGCACTCTTCAGCATACAAAACAGCCTCAGCAACATTTTAAAACATGCTTTTCTGGAGTATTAAAGACATGATTGTAGCAAAATAAGAAACACATCCTTTGTCAATGAAGACAAATCTTAGCAATGCAAAAGCCATATTCTGCCATATAAAAACTTATTTAATGCAACAAAGGACAATGCTCTCCAACACATATTTCATATGCAGTAAATTGAAGAAACATGCAGTTTACATGTGTATCAAAAACTGATGCATTGTCTTACCAATTAAAGATTCTTTGGGGGTTAAAAGACACATTAGGTTTCTTGAAACTTAGGATAAAAAAAAAAATTTAGGCATGCAAATGCTAAAAAATAGGTGCAGAATAGTATTGAATTTTCTTCATATTAGGCAAGAAAGAAAGGCTAACAATGAACACAACCATTCTTATTTAAAAATGGATTTTTTTTTAACTGCACTGGTAATTCAAAATATATAATTCCTTGAAAATGCTATTTAAAATCAATTTTGCTTCACAATTGTTACAATACATATTACAGATTTACATTACAAGGCCTTTTCTTAATCATTATGTCCTTAACATTGAAATTTACTTTGGGTTTTTCCCCAGAGTACCGAGGAACATTATTAAAGCAGAAGCGCTTGAAGGCTTCTACATCTCTCTCCGTTTCATCTAGCTCACCTTCTGCCACATCCTTTGGAGTAAACACACTGTCAATAGTAGTCATGTCCTCAAGATGACCTTTCTTACCTTTCTTGTTCTTTTTCTTCTTACTTAAGTTTTTCTTGTCATCATCCCCACCCACACATTGATCATGAATATGCTCACCTAAAACATTGCCATTGAATGTATTATAGCTCATTTTGGCTAAGGTGTTCGCATTAGCTGCAAGATACTGAGCATAACGTGCCTCGTGGGCAATATCCTGAGGAACGTATCCCACTTTCCCAGCGAAGTTCCCAAAGCTATTATTTAATTTGTGGTTTTTATTAACATTTTGTGATTCGTGCATTTGTCTTGCCTGTTGCTGATACGGCTGGTGAAAATTTTGCTGTTGTTGCTGTTTCTGTTGTAGCGGTCCCGGTTGTTGCTGCTGCTTTTGTTGCCTCTGCTGCTGTTGATTTTGTTTTGGTTGATGCTGACTCAATTTCTGTTGTTGATGCTGCTGACTTAGTTTTAATGGCTGTTGCTGAGGTGGCTGCTGCTGTTGCTGGTGATTCTGTTTCTGCTGCTGTAGAGTCTGCTTTGGCTGTTGAAGTTGTTTTTGTTGCTTAAGCTGAAACTGTTGTTTATCATGCATCTGCTGCTTTTGTTGAGCTAACTGCCGTGTTTGTGCTTGCTGTTGTATTTGTTGCTGTTGCAATTGTTGCTGCTGCTTAACCTTACCATTCTGAGTACAAGAATTTGCATTTTTAACTGACTGGTTAGTAATGTTTTGAAGCATAGTTTCTTTGCTATTCTGTTTATTGCTTTTATTGAGTTGCCTCACAACATCAGGCTGCTGTTTTGGTTTTTGCTGCTGAATTTCTTGGGTCTTCTGTGTTAATTTATTGTTTTTAGTGGCTTGTGGACAACTTTGTTTGATACAATTGCTCTGAACAACTGGTTGCTTACAATTTTCTTTTGGTTTCTGATTCTTTTTACTTTGGTTCTTAGTACCCTGTAACTGACGTTGTACTACATCAGGCTGTTTGGCCCACTTCCCAGTTGCTATGTTGTACATTTGATCCATTAGTTCATCCTCTTCTCTCTGTTTCTGCTCCTCCCTTTCTTTTTCCTCCTGCAATTCCTTCTTCTTCTTTTTAAATTTCTTTTTTTGAGTCATATTGAGGGTACTGGGATCAATTAGTCCCTTTACGGCCATCATGACTCTCTCGTCAGACGATATCTCTCGTTTCGAAGAACTACTGCTAGGAACGGGACTTGCACCCAGAAAACTGTTGTTGGTGTCTACAACAATAACATTATCTTTATCTGGATAGTTTCCAGAACCATCTACAGCACTATTCCAACTTAAACCAGGGGCATGTGACCTACCATATGGCTTGGATATAGAGTTTTCTTGAGTAGTAGAGAAACCTTGTACAATTGGATTTGGATACACATTAGGATTGGGCAAAAATGGCTGTGAGAAAGCACCTCCCATATTATTGGAAATCGTGACCATGCCTGGTTGACCTTCTACTTTGTTAATGGTTACCCCTGGTGGAAGGTTGAAAGACTGAGCCATATCATCACCATCATATACAACAGCTGACACAGCACTGTTGTTACTGCCGATTTTATTACTACCACTTTTAGTATTGCTAGGATTGGGAGCATTACCTCCTTTATTCTTCCTCTTGCTTTTCTTTGTATTATTTGATGGATTATTTTGCTGTTGCTGCTGTTGCCTCAGAAGTTCCTCTTGCTGTCGCTGAAGGGCTAACTGCTGCTGATGAATATGCTCTTGTTGCTGCCGAAGGATCTCTTGTTGTTTCTGCAGCTCCAGCTGTTGCAATTGACCTTTCTGCTGCTCCTGCATCTGCTCTTGCTGCTTGCGAAGTCGCTGCCTCTCTTTTTTCTGCCTTTTCTTGAATTTTTTTACTTCTTCTGGGTCTAATCCCTCAGGCACTTTTGGTTCATTTGGGACAGGCTGTGGCTGAGCTGGAAGGCGAGACTGAGGTTGAAACTGAGGTTGAGATTGTAACCGGTTTCCTCCCTTTTTAATGCCCTGTCCAGAGTGGCCTCCATTACCAGATACTGCTGCAAGAAGGGAAAGTATGTGATTAACTTCTCTCTCCTCTTACCCAAAATACTGTTCATAAATATGAACATATTCTGAAAGAGAATGCACATACTGTTAACCCACCCCTGTAACATTTCTAAACAGAATACTTTTTGGAGAAAGTACATCTGAATATTGTAATCTCAAAGCCAACAGAGCAAAACATTAACTATCTTCCAATGAACACTTCGGAATGGATGAATCATAACTTTTTTTTTTCAGTCAAAGGTATAAAACAAGTTAAAAGTAAAACAAGTTAAAAGTAAGTCTATGCCTGGACTTTAAAATGCATAATTTATAGGGCTCTTTTCATTACATATAAATTCTCAAAATATATACAGTATGTATTGCATAGTGAAGTTACTCTAGTAATTTTAAATAATCTTTATAACTATATGGGTAAATTTCAATGGTATAACTGTACATAGGAATAAAATAAAAAATAGCCCATTAATGTTAAACATGGTGCAATTGTTGCTATAGTTCTATCAATGTTAAACATCATATTTATACAGTAATCTGAATACTGCAAATTTTAAGTTTTTTAGAAAATCTAAATTTAGTTCAACCCAAAATATTGTGCATAATATGGACTTTGTAATACAACATTGTTTTCCAGTCTTTAACCCTATGGCTGTTTCAGCCGTATATATACGTCTTATGAGCCAATGTTTTTGATGCATTAATACACCAAAATTCTAGCGGCTTCAAATCAAGCAGAAGAAAGCTGGTAGGTCCACATGTGAGAGAATGGGTCTGTGTGGTTAATGTGCACAGTACAAAAAAAATCCTGCAGCACGCAGTGCATAATGAGAAAAAAACTTCAACCTTGTTTTTGGATTAAAATGCCGACTTTGAGGTGTATTTTCGTATAGTATTTATGGTTGTACTCTCGTGTACTTGGTCTCATTCAACAGAATGAAAGAATATTACAGAAATAGAGATGATTTTGACTGGTTTCATGATGAAAAAGACCTTGAAATTGAGCTCAAAGTAGCGGAAATGTTCAATTTTTGCCAATGTTCAAGAGTAAACAAATCACGCCACACGTCCAATACATGTCAACTGGTGAGTCTAATATTCTTTCACAAGGGCGCTGATAATATTTATAGCATTTTTACAATAATGCAGTAGGCTGCATAACAGTAAATCTTCTAGTTTTTGTGGGAATAAAAATTCAAAATGGAAAGCAAGAGTAATATAAGAAGGGCCTGGAGAAGTGACTAATGAACAGAGAAAACGTTATTACAGTGCCAGGAATGTATCTTGTTTATTCTGGACCCTATTTTGAAATTGGTATCTTTTTTAATTTGCGTGAAATTGGCCAAACTGCCAATTTCTGACCACTTTAAAAGAAATAGCTACGAGTTTGATCAACTGGAACAATGGAATTGGCCGAAAATAGGGCTCAAAGTGGGCGAAATCGCCAATGCGTATATATTGCATTGGCATTTCATACTTTTGGTGTCATTACCATCGGGAAAAGTTTCTCTATCATTTCATAAGAATTTTTTTTTTTTAATATTTTGCGACACTGAGAGACATTTCAGGATTTGGGGTGGCGAGAGTCAAAGGGTTAAAAAATATCATGCCTAATTTGTATTGTATTTACTGTGGGCAAGGGGCTTGGACTTCCAGCAAGCGTGCGTGAGCGTGTTAGATAGGATTGAATGGAGACGAATGGTACTTGGGACCTGACGATCTGTTGGAGTGTGAGCAGGGTAATATTTAGTGAAGGGATTCAGGGAAACCGGTTTTTTCATATAGTCGGACTTGAGTCCTGGAAATGGGAAGTACAATGCCTGCACTTTAAAGGAGGGGTTTGGGATATTGGCAGTTTGGAGGGATATGTTGTGTATCTTTATACGTATATGCTTCTAAACTGTTGTATCCTGAGCACCTCTGCAAAAACAGTGATTATGTGTGAGTGTGGTGAAAGTGTTGAATGATGATGAAAGCATTTTCTTTTTGGGGATTTTCTTTCTTTTTTGGGTCACCCTGCCTCGGTGGGAGACGGCCAACTTGAAAAAAAAAAAAAATTGTAATTTAGCTAATTGTTTTTATGTTCAAGCAAACACAAAAAACAGGTCATCTTGTGTAAAGTTAGTGAAAGTCAATGTGGGAGAGCAAAAAATAAGATTCTAGATAAATGGTTCAGAGAACCAACAGGATGAAGAATTAGATATTTGTGCAACACTTGGGTATCTTTACTGTGGAAAAGTTTTGTACACCCGTAGCTTCCTAAATCCAACATAGAGAAAAATGGTTGAAGATGAGTAGTAGTTTGAGGTACTCAATCCCTTAGCCTGGTGTCGATGTGATCAATCATATCGACTCCAGGCTGAGGGACTGATTACCTCAAACTCCTCATGATCTTCAGCCCTTTTTCTCTGTATCGGACTGAGAAAGCCACTGTTTGGCAAAATGTTTCCACAATAAAGATACCCAAGTGTTGCACAACTGTCTAATTCATCAAAAAATAAGATTGAAAGAGGGTAATAATCAATTACAGTATCAAAAAGTAACATCTTGAATGCATAACATATTTATAAGAATGTAAACACTACACTACACTGCATTACAAGATGCATATATGTAATAAATAAAATAATACTAAAAATTCTACAGTGAAGACCTCACCTTGTCCATTTACCAACTTGAAAAGTACTTTGTCCTTTTCTGGCTGATCACCTTTGAGTGTGATGGTGACAGTTGGCTCAGAGTTGTTGGGATCCATCACTCTTCTAATAGTTACCATCTGTGACCCTTTATCTTTTTCTTTAGTTGTTGTATCCATTCCCTTTAATATATTACTTAAACTACTAGGGCCACTTAGAGGAGGAGGATTAGTAACTGTTTCTTTATTATTAAATGAAGTGGGTTTAGCTGCCAGTGGTGGAGTTGGTACTGAGGCCTGCCTACTGGACTGTGAAAGCTGGTGACTTTGTTGACTTGACTGCCGATAAGGGTGCAGAATGGTCCTTGAAGTAGAATGAGGTTGTGATGGAGATTCTGTGGAGCTCTGAGCAAGAGATGGTACTAGTTTTGCTGAAAGAGGTTTTCCCTTGTCCATGGAACTAGGGGAAGGTTCTCGTGGCCGCTGGGAAGCCACCTGAAATGCATTATTCATGACATAATAAAATAATACTATTTTTCTTAACCTACCAGCTGTCTCCCACCAAGGTAGGGTGACCCAATAAAGAAGAAACACTTTCACCATCACTGTCTAGCCAGAGGCATGCTGATACTACAGCTCAGATGCCTTTCCAAACTATTATATCCCAACCCCACCTTCAGAGTGTAGATATGAAATATACTTTTAAAATATTAAGAAATTACAAGAGAATGTAAAGGGGAGTTCATTAATATATAGTGCTGTGCTCAAGCAGTATCACCCAGAATTCTGATCCAATAGGCATAATGGAAAGAGTGCCTTTGATTTGACAAACTAAGTCAACAGATTAACCCTTAAACTGTCCAAACGTAGATCTACGTTTGCACACACAGCACTCCAACCTTAATTTTCTCCATAAGAAACAATGTAAAAAACGTAGATCTACATTCAGAGCGCTACACAAGCAAACGTAGGTCTACGTTTGGACAGTTTAAGGGTTAATCTGTTGACTTAGTTTGTCAAATCAAAGGCACTCTTTCCATTATGCCTAGTGGATCAGAATTCTGGGTGATACTGCTTGAGCACAGGGTTAATATAAGTGAGAATAAGAAGTTATATGTACTTCACCCATCCTTTTTACTCTAGAAACAAAGCTGAAAATAAAATACGTTTTTTTTATTATTATTATCACACCGGCCGATTCCCACCAAGGCAGGGTGGCCCGAAAAAGAAAAACTTTCACCATCATTCACTCCATCACTGTCTTGCCAGAAGGGTGATGGAGTGAATGATGGTGAAAGTTTTTCTTTTTCGGGCCACCCTGCCTTGGTGGGAATCGGCCGGTGTGATAATAATAATAAAAAAAACGTATTTTATTTTATTTACGTAACAAATGCAATTATAATTTAATAGAAGTGTGAAAACATACTTGTGGAGTTGCAGGAGTTCGTGAAGTTTGCTGGCCAGGGCGGACTACTGTTATGGTCACATCTGGCGCTCTTCGTCTAAGCTCTGCTAAAGGCCCATCTTCTTCAACATCATCACCATCATCTTCCTTCTCATCAAAATCCTCCTCCTCATCACCCTCATCCTCCTCCTCTTCTCTTCTAATTGCCATCTAGGTAATCAAGATTCTTTGTCAGTATCATACTTTTATTTAATTAATACTTGTCCAATTCCTCAATAAACCATAATAATCACAAAGTTTACTGAGTATACCAGGAAAAGTGTACGGTAGGGTTATAATTGAAAGAATTAGAGGTAAGACAGAATGTAGGATTGCGGATGAGCAAGGAGGTTTCAGAGTGGGTAGGGGATGTGTAGATCAAGTGTTTACATTGAAGCATATATGTGAACAGTATTTAGATAAAGGTAGGGAACTTTTTATTGCATTTATGGATTTAGAAAAGGCATATGATAGAGTGGATAGAGGAGCAATGTGGCAGATGTTGCAAGTATATGGAATAGGTGGTAAGTTATTAAATGCTGTAAAGAGTTTTTATGAGGACAGTGAGGCTCAGGTTAGGGTGTGTAGAAGAGAGGGAGACTACTTCCCGGTAAAAGTAGGTCTTAGACAGGGATGTGTAATGTCACCATGGTTGTTTAATATATTTATAGATGGGGTTGTAAAGGAAGTAAATGCTAGGGTGTTCAGGAGAAGGGTGGGATTAAATTTTGGGGAATCGAATTCAAAATGGGAATTGACACAGTTACTTTTTGCTGATGATACTGTGCTTATGGGAGATTCTAAAGAAAAATTGCAAAGGTTAGTGGATGAGTTTGGGAATGTGTGTAAAGGTAGAAAGTTGAAAGTGAACATAGAAAAGAGTAAGGTAATGAGGGTATCAAATGATTTAGATAAAGAAAAATTGGATATCAAATTGGGGAGGAGGAGTATGGAAGAAGTGAATGTTTTCAGATACTTGGGAGTTGACGTGTCGGCAGATAGATTTATGAAGGATGAGGTTAATCATAGAATTGATGAGGGAAAAAAGGCGAGTGGTGCGTTGAGGTATATGTGGAGTCAAAAAACGTTATCTATGGAGGCAAAGAAGGGAATGTATGAAAGTATAGTAGTACCAACACTCCTATATGGGTGTGAAGCTTGGGTGGTAAATGCAGCAGCGAGGAGACGGTTGGAGGCAGTGGAGATGTCCTGTTTAAGGGCAATGTGTGGTGTAAATATTATGCAGAAAATTCGGAGTGTGGAAATTAGGAAAAGGTGTAGAGTTAATAAAAGTATCAGTCAGAGGGCAGAAGAGGGGTTGTTGAGGTGGTTTGGTCATTTAGAGAGAATGGATCAAAGTAGAATGACATGGAAAGCATATAAATCTATAGGGGAAGGAAGGAGGGGTAGGGGTCGTCCTCGAAAGGGTTGGAGAGAGGGGGTAAAGGAGGTTTTGTGGGCAAGGGGCTTGTACTTCCAGCAAGCGTGCGTGAGCGTGTTAGATAGGCGTGAATGGAGACGAATGGTACTTGGGACCTGACAATCTGTTGGAGTGTGAGCAGGGTAATATTTAGTGAAGGGATTCAGGGAAACCGGTTATTTTCATATAGTCGGACTTGAGTCCTGGAAATGGGAAGTACAATGCCTGCACTTTAAAGGAGGGGTTTGGGATATTGGCAGTTTGGAGGGATATGTTGTGTATCTTTATATGTGTATGCTTCTAAACTGTTGTATTCTGAGCACCTCTGCAAAAACAGTGATAATGTGCGAGTGTGGTGAAAGTGTTGAATGATGAAACGGCCGACTTGTTGAGAAAAAAAAAAAAATCACAAAGCCTATCTATTCAGATTAAATTATCCTTTATGGCAAAATTTTATACAAAGCAGCTTTCTACATATCACTGTATACCAGTTTCTGAGAGAGACTATATATATTACAAGTCTCCTTATAATATAATTTAAATTTCCCATCATACGCCAATGCTAACTGAACAGTCTTCCATTAGCATTGTCAATTTTTAAATATTGCAAAACTTTGCCTGCTTCAAACAATTTTTTTTTTTTTTTTAACAAGTCGGCCGTCTCCCACCGAGGCAGGGTGACCCAAAAAAGAAAGAAAATCCCCAAAAAGAAAATACTTTCATCATCATTCAACATTTTCACCTCACTCACACATAATCACTGTTTTTGCAGAGGTGCTCAGAACACAACAGCTTAGAAACATATACCTATGAAGATACACAAACATATCCCTCCAAACTGCTAATATCCTGAACCCCTTCTTTAGAGTGCAGGCATTGTACTTCCCATTTCCAGGACTCGAAGTACATACAGCCTCTCCTCACTTAGCGACATAATCGTTTACCAATGACTCTTGATTTACGAAGGGCATACCTAAATAATGTATATTAGAGCTGATTTCCTCTATTCTGTTTATTACAATATACAGTACACTACTGTATAAACATTTAAAAATACACTATAAATAGTGCAAAGACGACATTAAAACAATATCAAGATGGTTGACACAAACCCTCTACCATTATAGTATTGCTTCGTGCTTAGCAACAAATTCATTTACTGACATGGTCTTAGGAACAGAACTCTGTCATTAAGTGAGGAGAGGCTGTAATTAACTCTTTCTTTAACATGCTGGCCATCTTCCACAGAGGCAGGGTGACCCAAAAAAGAAACACTTTCACCATCAATTCACACTATCACTGTCTTGCCAGAGACACGCAGATACAAGAGTTTAGATGTACTGTAACTCTAAACAGCAGATATCCCAAACCCCTCCTTTAGAGTGCAGATATTGTACTTCCCACTTCTAGGACTTAAGTCCAGCTAATATGTACTTAATTATGCCTATAATATTTCTTTAACTGAATGTAATGCAAAAATTTTATTAAGATAACTGTGCTGAATTTATGTAAAGTTTCCATCACATACTTTTGTCGTGCTAGCTGTAATCAATGTAAATGAAGCTACTGTGTTGTCTTAATGAGATAAATATGATTCAAGACTTTCTTAATAAAAAAATACCTTTTTCTGCCTCTGTCGAGCCTTTTTGGCAGCTTTTTTGGCGTGTTTAGCTTCATCCATGTGATTGCCTTCTATGAAGTCTAAAATCTTATCAATATTCTGGCCTCCTAGAGGAGTGCTGCCGCCCTTGGTTGTAGGAACACCAGGGGTAGCAGGAGTAGGAACTGCAGCAGGAGTTGGTGTGTGTGTGTTTGTTGAAACAGTACTGGCAGAACAAGACACCGCGGAACAACTACGAGCCTTTTTCTTTCGTGACAAAATCTGCAGCAGTCTGTCTCGTCTGTCACTGTATTTCTGTCTTCCACCACCCTAATAAAAAAAATGTATTACTGGTCACAGACACACATGAATGGAAAACAAAATTCATTACTGAATTAACAAGTTTTAAAGCAAGTCAGTGCTTCAAAGAAGCAATTAAAGTGAAAGAAGGCAACACACTATTAATGTTAAGTAACCACTATTTCTACAAAAAAAAAAAAAAAATCTCTAATATAAACTACTTAAATGTACTTGTTAAAGCAATAATATTCTAGTGTTTATGTGTGCAGAGGAAGTAGCATCACATGCCACTGGGTAATTGTGTGCTTTCCTGCAAACCTCAAACTAAGATATGCAACGATACAGACCTTATTTAACATGTATTACATTACTATTTTAATACAGCCTTTAGATGTTAAATTAATATTTACCTATGAATTTATTCAGTACTAAATTTACCTGCTTGTGGTGAAGCATATGACAATAACAGCAGTCACAGTGTGGGTCTTGATGGGTGGATGAGACAGTGGTGGAGGAGTCACTCTCATCGCCACTACTCCACTCATCTCCCCCACTTGTTTCACTCTCACCCACACCTGAGTCAATCATCATAAATCATAAGTACAATATAAAAATTATCATGAAATTGAAAGAATTTTTGTTAAAATTTAAAATCAAGGTTTGCCTCAAGTTATATTTTATAATGAAACAAGGAATGTCCTATACAATATTAGTTTTGCACACCAAATACTGTATTCTCCTATCCTATGATGTGAATAGTAGTGGTGGTTGTGTAGAATGATGATTAATAATGACACTTAACAATGCTGCTGACTGATGGCAATTGCCAGTCTCCATTATGTAAAACAAATTCTTTTGTACAGAACAATTCTACCATACCAGGGAATTTAAAACCATTCTGGTTGTAGATTAAGTAATGTGACTAATATGTAAGATTCTCACAAGAAAAATAAGCAAGTCACTTGATAAATCTTGTAATTCAAATAAGAGGCATGTTAACTGCTAAGGAATTAAATTATAATAGTGTATGTATGGCATCACCACCAAAACTTTTGAACAAATGTTGATGCATTGTTCAATATATTACTGTATGTGTAAGCACGAACATCACTGTGTGCCTGACCATTAGAACATTAAATCTATGCATTTTTTGTACTTTTCCCAAAAAATGAGGTGACCCCAAAAAATACAAGACATTTACCACCATTCATTCAACAACTATCTTACCAGAGATATGCAGACATCACAATTCAAACAACCCTGTGAACCACATCCTCACTCTTCCTTCAGTGCAGGCACTGTACTACCCACCCCTAGGACTCAAGTCTGGCTAACCTGGTTACCTAATTCCTTCATTACATTGCTCACAAAGGCACGTAACATAAATCTCTTAGGTCAGTGATATAAAGGAGGAAAAGAAAAGAACCTAGAATGCTGCCCTGAAGGGAGGATACCAATCAATGTGCAGAAGCAACAGAATGTGATAAATCTTAAATGCTTGAATATTCTTCAAAGATGGAAAAACAAATACAAAAAAGTATAGCACTTACTCTCTCTACTGGTTGATCTATCAGAACGCTCCACCTGATGTTGCTGGGAGTCCTCCAATCCATTCCTACACTCCCCTGTAGATCAAATCACCAATATATTCCTTTTGACTATTAATTAAGTCAGAGCCACCACTGATCACAAGGCTAGTCATGCTATCATGAGTCAGGAGGTGAGCCTTATGCATGAGCTAGGATATTAGAATACAGTACTTCCATCTTATCTAGCTAAAGCAGGCCAATATGACAGACAGTCATCATAACAGACAGTAAGTCTCCAACTTAAACCTTCCAACTTATGGTTATTTGTATTGATGACAGGAGTACTTTGGAACCAATTAATCATTTACAAAAGCCAATCAGCAAACACAATCATTGAAAATATTCCAGCAAATTTTGATCTCAAAGGCCATCTCATGTCAAGACAGGGTAAAACAAACAAACAAACACACACACACACACACACACACACACACACACACACACACACACACCCACACACCCACACACCCACACACCCACACACCCACACACCCACACACCCACACACCCACACACCCACCATCTTTCATTCAACTGAAGCGTACTGACATCACAAATCAGATTACCCCTCCAACTGCAACATCCCTATCTCTACTTCAAAGTGCAAGCACTGCCCATCCCACCTCCAGAACTCAAGTCTGGATAACTCATTTTCTGTAAATCCCTATAAGTTACCTTGCTCACACTCTAACAGCATGTACATTAAAAACAAACTTGTCTCCATTTGTTCATATCTAACACACTCACACAAGCCTGCCAGATGTTGAAGCCCCTAAAACTCAACCTCTTTTACACCCTGCCCAACCATTCCTAGAACAGCTCTTATTCTAAGTATTAAAAGACAATTTATAAATAAAATGGGCTGTAGTTTACATATGGTATGAAACTGGCAGCTTTAGAATTTAATTACCTTAATGGTCTTTTAATGTTGAAAAAAAACACAGATTTTTACATCACTATTATAAAAATATTAAAGCTATTTCATTAATATTATTCAGATATTCAGTATAAAAATTAATAACCATTTTTAAAATGTTACCTTTTTGAGTCGAAGCTGTTGTACATGTATGATGAGCACGAGTGTGTGTAATAACACTCGTGGTGTTGGTGACTGAACAGCACTTGTTCCCACCTAGTGAGGAAACTTGTGGGGCAGATGAACAGCCACCATCAGTGCAAGGAGTGCTGTTCCTGCTACTCACAGGAACTTTGGAGGCATGACAAGATGTTGATGACACAGGATGACTGGCAGTGCTTGATGTAGGCCGGGAACTGGGAAGTATGGTAGTATGTGCACGAGCAGTGGCGTGGGAGTCAGGCACATACGGCAAAGAAGGGTCCACCATGGTGCGAGTGTACGATGGTCGTGAGGAACTGATACGAAGGGTTTCCACGCCACTTACAAGGCTTGATGGATCAGTCCTGTTTAAAATATCATTATAAAAGTTTACAAAAACAGAAAATCTAATAAAACTGCAATCTCTCTGGGTTAGTAAATAAATACTTTTAAACAACAAATGGTAATTATCTAACCACTGCTCTTAGAAACAATATGAAAACGATCAAAAATTAAATAAAATGACAGTGATTAAGTCTGAGGATTTGAAAAGAGCAGCATAAATATATGGAGACACCCTTATATCAAACTTTTTAATACTATAACACAGTTAAAGCTCAAATGAAACTAGAATAAAGTAAATAATTGCATACTCATAAGTTTGAAGGACAGCTTCTGGTGGTGGAAGAATAGGGTGTGACCCTGGAGGTGTTAATGTATCCCCATACACCATCTCCCACTCACGCATTAACTGTTCTGTCAATAAATCACTTCCCTGTGGGTGAAAAATAAATTCAAATGTAAGATTAAATGATAAGAGCTTTACATATATCACAATTAAGAGTTCTGTTGCAGTGATGAGGACATATTAAAGAAGAGAATACAGTAACTGATATTTAAAAATAAATTAGGGTATGTTTGCCTATTGTGTCTTCCTCTTCCCCACCACATAACCACGTTACACAGACAAAGTATCTTTCACTGAATAATAAAAAACAATATATCTAAGACAAAATTAATATATAAACCAGTTAAATCTAAAATGATACAAGCTTAACCCTTAAACTGCAGCATACCCTGAAGTAAAAATTTCCTGTGTGGGGGGAAATATTTTGAAAAAAAAAAAAAAAAAAAAAAAAAAAAAAAAAAAGTTCTTATAGTTTGAAGATATTTTTCAATGTAGAATAAAATGAAAAGGAACAAAATCTGATGAAAACTTATGAATTTTTATGCTGTCTTGAAGTTGGCAAAAAATTACTCCCTCCCCTTCCTTCCCTCCACCCCAGATTTTTATGCTGTCCTAGTATCCTAATTTTCTCCAGCCTCTCTATATGTTAAAACTACCTCAACAACCTTTCCTAAGCCCTCTGAACAATACTTTTGGTGACCCCCAAATCTTTTTGTCTCCAAGCTCCAAATTACATGCATAAGAGATTTCAAAGTTTGGAGATAATTATTACATTTAACAGGAAACACTATTTTTAAGGGTCATACAGTGCCTGGGAAATGGTAATGATCAGGATCAGTTCAAGAAAGGGTAGGAAAAAATTCACTTTTTTGGATCAAGAGGAACCTCACTTGAGGAGCCAGCATCAAGGAACCTCCCCTGAGGAAATATCCTAATTTAGATAAACCTTCCTTGATGGAATATCCTGGGTTAGATAAACCTCACTTGAGGGAATATCACCCCACCTCAGTGGGAGATGACCAACATTTTGAAAAAAAAAAAAAAAAAAAAAAAAAAAAACTAATTTCTGTGTATATAACATATGTGAACCTTCAAGACCACTGCAAAATATATATTTATAAGGAAATCTTATATTACAAAAGTTTTAAGGTGTAATCTTTATCAAAACTTCAAACAAGTCATTGTTGACTATACTGAGTTATCCTAGCTTAAAGTTACATACTGTTTTTTGGGCTGAATTTCACTGTTAATATCATGAAACTGTAATATATCTGCAATGAATAAATCATCTTCCAGGCAGATCCACACCCTGTTTGCTGGTAGGGAACTTTGTAATGGAACAATGGGTCCTGGATTCACTGTTTACATATGCTATAAGCAAGAGTGATCCATGATGCACTACATGGACCTGCCCAGTCTGAGATTTTTTTTTCAAAGATGTTAAGAGACTGAAGAGGACAAGAACAGTGGAACCGAGGCCAAAAATACTGTCAGGTTGCATATTTGAAGGTGCAAAGAATGCCATATAAGTATGAGAGTCAGTTTGGTCTGCTGCCTACTAGTACATTTAACACAATTTAAGGGTTAAATTCTATGTTATCTATCTTGAAACTAGACTAGTTTTAGCAGGAGGTACCTGATGAGCCAGGCTGTGCTTATATGGGCCTGTGGGCAGCAAGTAATAACAGAGTGGCTGATCAAGCAGTTATCAGAAAAGTCTGGTCAGAGGCTGTGGCTACGAGAGTATTAACTCTTTCAGTGTTGGTGCCATACATGTACTGCTTGATAGCCAGGGTCGGTGCCGTACATATACGCCAAAATTCTAGCACCTTCAAATAGAGCAGAAGAAAGCTGGTAGGCCTACATATGAAAGAATAGGTCTGCATGGTCAGTGTGTGTGCAGTATAAAAAAAATCCTGCATCACAAAGTGCATAATGAGAAAAATAAAACTCCGACTGTGTTTTTGGTTTAAAACACTGACTTTGTAGTGTATTTTCGTGTAGTACGTATTTATGGTTTTATTCTCATTTTCTTGGTCTCATTTGATAGAATGGAAGATATATTAGAGAAATAGAGATGATTTTGACTGGTTTCATGATGAAAAGTACCTTGAAATTAAGCTCAAAGTAGGGGAAATGTTCGATTTTTGCCAGTATTCAAGAGTAAACAAATCACGCCACACGTCCAATGCAAGTCAACTGGCGAGTCTAATATTCTTTCACAAGTGTGCTGATATTATTTATACCATTTTTACAATAATGCAGTACTGTGCATAACAGTAAATCTTTTTTTTTGTGAGAATAAAAATTCCAAATGGAAAGCAAGAGTAATATAAGAGGGACCTGCAGATGTGACTAATGAACAGAGAAAATGTTATTTCAGTTCAAGGAATATCTGTCTTGTTTATTTTGGACCCTATTTTGAAATTGGTATCTTTTGAAATTTGTCTGAAATTGGCCAAACTGCCAATTTCTGACCACTTTATTGGGTAGTTGAAATCAGTAAATGAGCGGTTTATTGTATTCAACTGACAGAACAAATGGAGTTATAGCAAAACAGCTAAGGTTTTTGTCAAACGGAACAATGGAATTGGCCAAAAATAGGGCAGAAAGTGGGCAAAATCGCCGATGCCTGAATATCTCTGATATCGCTAACTTCATGAGAGCGTAATTTCGTATATTTTCAATCAAATTTCATACTTTTGGTGTCATTACCACTGGGTAAAGATTCTCTATCATTTCATAAGAAAAAAAATTTTTTTTTTTTTTTAATTTTTTTACCCTGAGACCAAGTTCAGGATCAGAGGTCTCAACCCTGAAAGGATTAAAAAAAAAAAAAAATTCAAAACCAGATACAAGTACTGGACTCTACAGTGGTTTATTCATAATAAACAAGACCCCCCCAATAATCAGTTCTTAAAGCTAACTAGGAAACACTTCTTCCCAATTTTTAAACAAACCTTAGAATTATTTAATAGGTGGTGCAAGTTTAAGTCATTCCGAAATGGCAATCACAAACTGAATTAGTACAAACACATAAGATGTGACTTTTTCTTTCTTTTTAGCAATGAGCATAATGGTCTTATTAATATAGATTTTGATAATTACAAACTAATGTTGAAATCGGATAAATATATTAAGATGCAAAATACTGAATAAAATCTTATACCAGTTCCAAAACACCAATTTGCTTGAAAGACAATACAATTTCAACAAGGAAATTTGTGCCCAGGTCAGTGGTAATTTTACCAGAACATATGGAAGTCAGGTCATCCTTGAAAATCCAGTCACAAATGGACAGCAGGTGGTAACTCTCATCTTTGCTCATTTCAGATTTAAAGGCCAAGTGCTATTGGCTTGATGATACTGAATCCAAGTCTTTGATACTGTGATTTAGCTCTCATATATTTTAAGTGTTATTCTGAAATTATCAAAATAAATATTAACAGTATATGCAAGACCACGTGGAAAACAAGTGTTCTTCCATCCTAGACATGGGAAATTGTTACAAATGAGGGAAGGAAAATGCCTCAGGTTCCCCCAGTTACAATGAAGGCTTGTTGGATGGAAACTGTTTTAGACTTGATAGTAAGCTGATTAGTTGTAAACTATTAGTAACCAAGCACTTAGTCTAAGGTTGTAGCTTAGACAGTTAAGCTAGACAGTTAAATTTGGTTAGTACATAGCATAAGTACAGTCACTGTTGTATCTCTAGGCCTACAACTTGGTAGCATTGGTGCCAGTAGGCCAGAGGTTCTGAATCTCGAGAGAGTCACACTCTAAGATCCATACCTACTGATTATGTTCCCATGTAGAATAAGACAAGCCATTACGTATTCTGGCATAGTTATGGGACCCTAAGTTCTATCACGTAGACTCAGTGGATCAAGTAATCAGGTGTAGTTAGAAATCCTTTGGAAGGCACAGGAATAAGGAATTTCTATATCCATGGATACAAGAGAAAGTACCTCAGACAACCCAACTACATATTAAGCCTCTGTACCCTAAATCTCTTCAGGTAAGCCAGTGAAGTACCTTAACAGTGTTAGGATATTGCACAATTCCATAGTACATAGGTATTTTTTATCAGTTTGCATCATGGGGCTAGTGGAAGGGTCTGGCATCTCCAGCAGGCCTCATCAGGATACATCAGTCTACACACTGGAAAGTATACCCAGTATATCTATGCATACCTTAGACAGCCTGGTAGAGAGAAGGGTCAGTCCATTAAGTTATACTTGGTGAGAGATAGCTGGTACTTAACAGGGATTTTGACTGACATGATTAATTAGTCAGTGCCATTCAGGTAAGGACCTTTCCTCAACAGACCTCACTCCCCAGTGAAAGAATGGAATTAATAAGTTACCATTCATGTTTAGTGAGCTTATTTTAACAAGTATGCAGGAAAGTCTGAGAAATAAAAATGCAACAATCACATTTTTCTAGAATTTAGGATTTGTTGCCAGCAAATATAAGGTAGATGTCATCCTTAAAAAGGTTTCAAGAAAACTCAAGTGTGTCAAAAAAGATATCTCAAATGGGAGATTAAGCTTATCTGTGGCTAATATCTTGTATGTTAAGTCCTACATATGCTGCCTTAATACTTAGAGGGTCAAGACATATCAAACTGATTGAGATATAAATTTTATGCAATAATAAAAGTAGACGAGGTGACCACACCGTGAGGCCTTTGTGCATGGACATTCTAATGATTCCATTAATTCACTTTTGTGCTATGCAAACTAAATAAAGCAGAAAAAAGGGAGAAAGAAATATTAATAAACTTATATGGAAATATAACAAATGGTGCCAAGAAAAGCATGTAGTTACAGTTAATAGCAGTCTTCTCTATAACCTTATCAGTAAGCAGAGGGGAAGGTTGCTGGGTATAAGGTCCTAATTGGACTACCTATCTACCTACTGACTCAGCACATCTCAGAGAAAAGAAGTTTACTTATACCTACTTATAATGCATGATCAGGTCCAATTTAAACTTCTCTGTACATTCATATTCCCATGCAAAAAATAAAAAGCAGCAGCAAAACTGTTAGATAACGCTAAAACAAGAATCAATAAACAAATCACACCACGTAAGGGTTTGTTGTGATGGGCGGCTTTGTGGTGGGTGCAGGAGGAATAGGTCCCAGCTCTTCTCTTGACTGGCCCACACCTACTATGTCACTTCCTGGGGGGGTGTTATGAATGTGAGGGTATAGTGAGAGCTGTGGCTGGGCCAGTGGGGGCAGAGAGCTCCCAGAGGATGGTGGCAGTACAGGCTCTTCTGTTGTCTGCAAAAGTAATTTCTAACATCAATACTGTACTTCCTTACCTAGATGCCTAAATACCTACATATTGTAACTCTAAACAAACAACTACTTGGGTAAGTAAAAAACCTGTCCAAATATTAGTTTGAAGCATCTTCAAAAATTCATATATGCTGCAGCTGTACTCCACATTTGTTCTCTTCATATATTAGGTATATTAAGCCTACTCAACCTATCAATCAAGTCACCTAGTTCTACACAACACAGCACATCCCAAACCCATTACTGCACCTACACACGGTAAGCCATGTACTGTTATTTTACACAAATAACCCGAACGTAGGAGAGAGGAGCTTACGACTCGTGACTTTGTAAATGGTCCAAATTGGCCTGATACGTTGTTGTAAGCTTCTCTCTCCTATGTGTGAGTTATCTGCGTATTGTTCCAGCCACAGTATTGTGCCTTTGTTCTTTACCATTATTTTCTTACAAAAATTATCAGCATTCCAATCCTTCCTGACCCACATTGTTTCTGTAGAGACTTTCTTCTCCCAATACACTGTCAAATGCCTTATTCTTTAGATCATTCATAACCTGACATCATACAGGCTGCCCCTATCCTTCCAATGCCCTCATCTGATTTCTGGCTTTCTCCCTTCCTTCACCTTCTCTCCCTTACTCCATACTTGATACTGAATGTTTAGGATGAACCAAAATGTCGTTTAGTTTGTCTCAATATTTTTAGTTTAAATGTTTCTGGTAATGGAATAGTAGTAATTTAATCTTTGTCACAATTCCATAATTCTTTCCAGTATCCACTTTTTAATCTAAATGAACATCAAACCTTATCAAACATACCATTATCATACTTTAAAGGCAACTGAACCAATATTCAACTGAGTTACACCATCCTCCTACAATGTAATGAAAACTATTAAATTGTTCCTACCCACAATTCTACTTCAGTAATTCTTTTCTATTGCTTTCTCAATTCTACAGTTTTAGTAGTCATAAATTTTTTATCCCAGTATCATAGTACTCTCCCTGTTCATTTAAACAATGCAAATGTCAGTTTCAAACAGTAGTCTTCTAGCTTAACTGTAGACATTACTTATATGTATATCCAAACCAAGTGCTTACTCTATAATCTGGGATTAGCCGATCCTCTGCCTAATTGCTATCCTTAGTTACACAAGATAAACATCATAAAATCCTTACAATTGCTACTAGCCAGGTAAAAGAGTTAAGTACTGATCATAAGATCTACTCTAATAATTAACAACTTCTACATCTAATATCAAATTAAACGTTTGAAAATTAGGCCCTTTCGCAAACTAAAAAATGCTTAACCTTGGTATAACATCTATTCCATTTTTACTTGCTTCACACCTTAAACTCTAATCAGATTTCTTTATCTGATTTACTAAAAAAAAAAAGTCCTCCCATTGACCAAAAATAAAACTAAGAGTAAACTGTTCCTAATTAATGACACAATCTAGCATTTTCAACATCCTTTCTCAATAAAAATAAAAATGTTTCATGCACATTCTTTGTATCAAGTTTTTTTTTTTTTTAACAAGTCAGCCGTCTCCCGAGGCAGGGTGACCCAAAAAGAAAAAATCCCCAAAAACAAAATACTTTCATCAACAAGGGATATTTTTGTATATCATTTTAACTGTGAACCTTTGGCCCATACAGCAGGGTTACCTCATTTATCATTATTTATGTGCTCAATTAATAAATGAATTTGAAGATAAAATATTTCAATCATGACATCAGTTAAGCACCACAACAGTATTCATGTCTTGTGCCAGAACAAATCTCTTACCATCAGAAAATCTGAGGCACTGTATGTGCAAGGATAGTGAGATAGTTATGATGGACCATAACTCAGTAGATTATTATTATTATTATGGAGTGGTTAACTCAGCAGATTATTATTATAAGGATTATACAGGGGGAAATAAAACATAACAGCTAATTTATAGAATAAAACTGGCATACCTCACAGTGAAAGCCGATCAGAAAAGGTATTCTCCAGCAATTGTGCAAAGTCCAACAATTCCATTTTTATTAAGTTAAATTTAATCTAAGGAAGAGGACAGCTCCAATTCCTTGAATCAAGAACCCTTCAACTACATCAAGGCACCCTGCCCCCACTCCTTAAAAGTATTAAGCTAGCAGAGAAAAAAATTGAACAAATCTGTAGGATATTTGGATATAAAAAAAAAGACCTAATTAATAGCAGGTTAAGAAAAAATAATTGTGTGGACTAACTCAAATATGTTAAGTGCCTAAATGTGTACTAGCAGAGTTGTGAAGTACAGTAATGGCTCACTCTATCAAGACTCAAGTCTTGAAAGTAATTTTATAGATCCCTGGCTTAAGTTCTCCAAATAAAGGAATCAGGAACAAATGCCAGGATACTGAGACGCAACATTACAAACTCAGTGGAGTGACGATCACATAACAATGTTACTCATCATCCTTTTCTCTAAATATTTAGAATTTCTCTTACCTACCTGCCTGCCAACTGGTTTGTTTATAATTTTCACATAAGACTTGGAAATGATTCTAAAAACAAATTTTAAATACGTACTTAATACTGCACAACCATTAGCCTTCTGGATACTATACTCATAGGGAGCACTAAACCCATTGGGGTCATAAAGCACTTGGGGGAATGGGAGGTAATCCAATTTAATCCAAGGAAGAGGAAGGCAGTTCCAATTTTTGGATCAAAAGCGCTTCACCGACATCAAGGAACTTCCCTCGAGGAAAAAAACTACAGGATATATCATAATACTATTAATCCTATGATGGAGTTGGTCAGGAAAAAAAAAGATCTTTAGGAATTACTTGAAAAAGTCAATGTCCAGAAAAAAAAAAAGCAGGGCATTTAAAAATGTATAGTTTACCTGTTCACTAGTTTATTAGTAGAGGGATTAATTTAAATCATGTTTTAATACAGTTGCAAAGTAACTTTTCTTAACCATAATCCATTATCAAATATTTTTCAGAGATTACTTGTTCACTTGATTTCTTTTTAATAAATAAAGTATTATTATGAACTAATGTCCTAGGTACAGTTAAGTGCCTCCTCAATAAGCAAAGCATGAAAGTAATGCAGTAATTCCTTGAATGCATGCTTGCATTATGTTACTAGCTGTTGCTGAGCCCAGTCACAATATATTATTGAACACGACCTGTTGCAGAGTAACTATGCAAGTCATGAAATAATGAAACCTTGTCATGTGCCCTCAACTACAGGGTCATGGTGAACTGGTGAGTAAGTAATAATCCATACATGCTCACAACAAATAGTTCTATTTCATTGCAAGAATACTGGCTGAAAAATTGATCTTCATGATGCCCTTGAAGGAAGATGAGCAGCTCTTGATGGAAACTTTTTGCATTATGGAATACAGAAAAGAACATAAGAGTCTATGCATCCTCATGATCAAGTTGAAAGGAAGCAATTGCCAAAAGACTGTGTAGCCAACCTAGAAACTGGCAATACCCCAAGAATGGCACCTGCAAAGATAACAAGCGACGAGGAAATAACACTGAAGAACTTAAGAGAAGGAAGGTTCACGAGGCAAAAACATTTCACCTCTCTCTCATTAACAGTTGTCAACTCTAGAAAAGATTTGAATCTATTGTGATAAATGACAAAGGAAGGAAAAGCCCAAACTTCCATTAAGCTCACTGTGACCTGGGCGAGAAGAAATTTCCCTTGTTCATCCATGTGAATGAGGTAATGATTTCAAGCCATGTAAGAATCAATATTCTTGTTCTTACCCATGAAGGTTTTGTCCATGCCAGTTGTCTGTTCAGAAGGTATACCCAATGCAGATGTGGAAGGTTGAAGGGAAGCAATGGATACACTAGAAAATTATGTCCTTTAAAGGGGGGAAGTACATACTCATTTATGGTGAACAACACATTATAGTACATCTTTCTCCCTGAAAACTGGATAGTCAAGAGGAAAGTCTCTGGTAGCTTGAGAATCATGACCCTCATCAAAGCAACCACCATCTGGAAAGGAATTCTCCCCTTTAACCAATATATAACCAGTGCCAAATGTAATGAATTGCTATTTCCTGCTTCCAGTCTGGGGGAACTATATATCTGACACAGACCCTGATTATAGGTACAGGCCCACCTATTGTTTGAAAACCCATCACCAGCTGGAGTGATGCTCATATTTGGAGAGTTAGGTTCAAGATTAGCTATTCACACTCACACCCACACCCACACACACACACAAAACCTCACACACTCTCACACACACACACACACACACACACACACACACACACTCACACACTCACACACTCACACACACACTCACACACTCACACACTCACACACTCACACACTCACACACTCACACACTCACACACACACACACACACACACACTCACACACACACTCACACACTCACACACACACACACACACACTCACACAAAGAACACTGAAACAACAGAAGGCATAATAAGGTAAAAGTGATAGGGAAGTCCAATAATAATGGAAGAAGTATTTTAGCTAGTATTCCTAGTGGTTCATCAGAACTCATCTACAGAAAAAAAAATAAATAGTAGAAACAAAAATCTCATGACTACAGTATTTCCAAGCCAAAGCTTTGGTAGCTAACTAATTCATTAATGGGGTGAAGAGAGAAATAATCCCAGTACCCAGGGCTTTTCACTGTTAGTTATTTTAAAGAAACTGTTTTGCTGAATATATATTACTGATAACTTACTGCAGCTGCCAATGATGCATTACAGAAATGACATTCACAACTCGAGGGTGGGCGAATGTCTGTACTGGATGAAAGAGGAATTCTAGAGCTTGTAGAGGAGGGCTGAGAGTCATTCATTTTGCCTCTGCCAACTGCACAGTCATCACATGGGCACTGCGCTGCACTCTCCTCTGTAAGAGAATGTTATGCTGAACATATTATAATTACATATAGAAGTTTCCCTCTATGAGAATTCAATATCACAGGAAATATGTTCCATTTCTAACTCTAATTCCATATTTGTGATATACATTTGCCATGCAGTTTACAAAGCATACCTAAGATTCCTTTTTCTTTCTTTAACCTCAACAGATGTTTCCCACCAGGGCAGGGTACCCCCCCCCCCCCAAGAAAAAGGAAACTCATTCACCATTATCCATTCAATTACTAACTTGCCAGAAGAGTGCTGACATCAAAATTCAGAAAACCCTCCAACTGCAACCTCCCTCTTTCTGGTGCAGGCACTGCCCTTTCCCCAGTTTCCCCAAATCCCTTCATAAATGTTACCTTGTTCACACCCCAACAGGGCATCCATTAAAAACCACTTGTTTCCACTCACTCCCATCGAACACTCTCACACAATCGTGCCAGATGCTCAAGTTCTATAATTCAAAGAGTCTCCTTTACCTCTCCCTCCAACCATTCCTGGGACAACTATCCTTCCTACTTACCAATCTATATTTATCATCATCATCCTATCCTTCTATTCTTTCTACATGCGCAAACTGCCCAGCCTTCGAAATTATGCCCTTAGTGACCCCACACAGCCTTTTAATTTCTAAGCTTTCAATTCTCTCCATAATATAGATCTATGTCATACATATGGTACATACAGTAGTAAATCAAATAGTTCTGAGCAAAAAATATTGTGATTTTTCCTTGAGGCTTTCGAATATTCTACCACCACACCATCTTTTAAACATGTATACCAAAAGTTAGTTGCTTTGAGAATTCTGAGCTCACAAACTGGTGGAAATTGTTATATATCTGCAAGCAGCAATGACGTTGCACATAAGGCAAAGTTAGTATAGAAGCTCAGCTCTCTCTCCTTCACTTGTGGAAAATGAGTGAAAAAAAACAAAAATTAATATTTTGATAAGATTATTTTTGCAAAGTTACAATACCATCTTTACCTGCTACCGATGTCACAGCAGCATTCTGAATCCCATTTTTCATGGCAAGTTCTTGATGATGTTGAGTACGCTGCTGTGCCTTGAACTGCTCCCAATCAGCAAGGAGCTGTCTACGACGTGTGCTGACAGCAGCACGTTCCACGGTATAATCTTGTAAGAGAACATCAGCACGCACCCACACTGCTTCTGCTACACCCAGTGTGCGGTGCAGTGAGGCCAGGCAACCAATGACATCATCACCTCCAGTCGAGCCATTTAACTGATCAAAAAAATTTAAAAAAAAATATGGAATACAAACATCTGTAAGCTACAAAGAAAAAAATCTTTTCCTTTCATCTTCAAAAAGCATTACCAAGCTGATGATGAACATGCTACTCATAGTTATATTCTCACATTCATTAACTAGCATCTTTCATTCTACAATGATGCACATTATACATTTAACCAACAGAGTAGTACTAAACCAGCAAGCAAAAATGAAGACTAAATCCATAATACTGAAAAACAAAATCCAAATACACGAGTACACCAATCATTCCGCTTTTAAATTTAACAATGTAAAATGTGGCAGTAAGTAAACATCTAACCTTTTCACTTTAGTCACCCCTAGTAATTAATGAGCCATTTTCTCTGATTTATAAAAATGTAAGTTAAAATTGCATGTCCCCTAAATGAATTTTGCTTCCTGATATACAAAAAAGTGTGACAGATTTATTGTGGTTACGACTATGACATGTAAATATTTCAGTGAAAGGATAACTGAAAAATTTGTGAACCTGAAATTAATCAGTGAAAAAAAAAGTAGAAAAAAAATAGGAACAATTTTGTTATTCTGACCAATCAATCTTGGTTTTTCTTGCCCTATTAGCCAAGAAGTCACGATATTTTTGCCATTAATGTTTTGACTATACACAATAACAACTTCTCACCTTCTGCTTGCATATCTGCGCATAGTCTTGTACATCAGGGTCAGTGAGAATGGTTGAATGAAAGATGTGCATGTTGACTGTCACCCAGTTGAGTTTGAAGCGGTTGAGGTGTTCAGAGTCTAAGCGCTCCAGTGCAGGATGGAGTGCTTCACACACACCCATTACCCACTGGTATGAATCACACACGCCTAAGGAAGTTCAAATATAATATATCTAAGACATTACAGACCTATTAATTACATTTATAAAAGTATTTACTATAATGTTATATGAAAAAATAGATATTATAAGTAATCAGCTTTGAAAACGTCATCACTGGGAGGCACGCCAGCACTGTCGGTGTAAAATGCATATACTGTAGGCTGGGCCTCACCTCTGATATCCGTTCAATATACATCATGTTGGTCAGAAAATCTATACCTGTTTGAAGTTTCTACTATGAATTTATTGATTATAGGAAAAAAAGCTATTTTGTTGTTTTTAAATTTACAGTTAAAAGCAACAAAATAATACTGGTAAAAAGAATTTCAGTCAAGACTTAGGTAGTTATTATGTATTAAGATAAGTCTGCCTGAAATGCCCCAGCATGATGGTGGCTTTCTTCATACTTAGCTAATCAAAATTGTAAATACACACTGCAACCTTGCAAAGAAATAAAATCTTTATCTTTAAGTGTCTAACCAGTTGGCATATGGCCCTTTCAATAAATTTAAATTTATTCTTTTATCAAAAAATTAACAGCTACAGTACTGAACTTGAGAGAGAATAATTCTATCAAATGTAAACTTTTACAATATAAAATAGTAGAAAATCTGGCACACATTTCTGTATGGTTAATTGAAATAATTTATAATTAATGAAGTTTTATATACAGTATTCTATTAACAGACTCCCTTTAATGAGGAGTGAATATTTAGCATCTAAGAAATCACTTCAGATTATTATTTCATGAACAATGTAAATCTATAGTAATATTTAAAACTTCTAAGAAGAGCATTTATTAAATCTGGAATGTGATTTTTGCACAATTTTGTTTTTCAAAATCAACAGCTTGATACTTCATGATAATTACAGTTACATTTGTTACAATCATAACGTCTCAAGCAAAGAAATTTTTTGCCCAAAAATTATCTAATAAATATTTTAAAAATCTTCATTTGAAAATTACATCTAAAAATTATTTATTGGATCATAACTGTATGGACAACATGCTAACACAAGATGTTAAAAACAGAGAATAAATGTTTGTGTTTCTACTCTTGTAATGTTGAAGTACTGTACTGTAAAATATCAAATAATTATACAGTGGACCCCCGCTTTACGATCAGTTCCCAATGCGACCAATTATGCAAGTGTATTTATGTAAGTGCGTTTGTACGTGTATGTTTGGAGGTCTGAAATGGACTAATCTAATTCACAATATTCCTTATGGGAACAAATTCGTTCAGTACTGACACCTGAACATACTTCTGGAATGAAATAATATCGTAAACCGGGGGTCCACTGTACAAGATTTTTGTTTAATAAATTAGCTAGGTTCATCTTCATATATGCTTCAAAGGTCTATAATTTCCAAACAAATAACAAAAAAGGCACAATACCGTGACTGGAACGATACACAAATAACCCGCACATAAAAGAGAGAAGCTTACGACGACGTTTCGGTCTGACTTGGACCATTGACAAAGTCACACTGTGACTTTGTCAATGGTCCAAGTCGGACCGAAATGTCGTCGTAAGCTTCTCTCTTTTATGTGCGGGTTATTTGTGTTTCCAAACAAACAAAAAACACACACAGGAGCTGTGACTCAACCCCTGCAACCAGATAATGGTGAAGGATCCCATAACCCATAAGGCAAATAATACTCTCTAGAAAGGCTATACAGTGCACAGAGATTATTTGAAGACCTACTGGCAAAACATACTGCACAGGAAAAACTCATGAAAAAAGTTTTCATTTTGAATTCTGAATGCGCAGTCCCTATATTAAGTTCAGAATTTTTTTAGATTTTTATTTTTATATTTTGCCTATTTAAAATAGTTACCCTGAATGAAGGTAGTAGCCTCTTCTGGTGTAGGGTTGTCGTGAATGATTGCCAGGAGTCTCACCTTCAACTCAATACACAGTTCGTGAGCCAGGTGACTGATGCGCATGTACAGCTGATGGGCATCGTGGGTCACAAGCCTGACAAATTAATTTATTTCTAGCCATTTACATAAAATTTTCAGCAGACCAAAAATAAGATGAAAAAATGAAATGATCCATTTGTTGTGCCTTATAACTGTCAAAATTACTTCAATAAATGCCTGTACACACTAATATTATAAACTACTAGTGTATGCATTCAGTATGATGAATGCATGATTACAGTAATTACAACTACAGCACTAACAAAATTGAAAGATAAGAACTACTTCAACACAACTTTTGAAAGATTGCAAAGTGGCAGGGGTTATATGGTATCTCAACCTAACAATAGCATGAGAAAGTGGTAAAAAATAATCAAGCCTTATTATTACAGAGTATTAAAATATAGGTATTACATCTATATGTACACAATGAAAAAAGACAAACAGGTAGACAGTTAAAAGAAAAAAGTTCTTAAGAAAACTGGAATGAACATTAACATACTAAATATAAAAATAACTGATCTTCAGGTTAGCAAAATTGTGTGACCATAACCTGCTGTTAATATCTGTCACAGAAATACCCTAATTAAAAAATGAAATGAATAGGTGGAATGAATTTATTTAGATTTTAAAATACTTCATGAAAGTTTTTCTGTGCTATTTGATATAATTAGACTATGTAAAAACAGGTGTTAGGGTTGAGTTTTTTTATACAACTTAAGGCTTTTTTTTTTTTTACAAGAAAGAAAAATTAGTTTTACTATAGATAGTGAATGTTTAACCCTTTCATTGTCCAGAGCCCTGATCTGAGAATTGCTCTCAAATGTCCAAGAATTCCTGCCCTCCCCCCCCCAAAAAAAAAAACATTTCTTATGAAATGATAAAGAATCCTTTTCCAAAAGTAATAAAACTAAAAGTACGAAATTTAATAGAAAACTGACAAAATTACACTCGCGAATTTTGCTGTGTCAGCGGCATTTACCCATCATCAATTTTGCCCATTTTAAGTCCTATTTTAGGCCAATTACATTGTTCCAACTGACCAAATTCTTAGCTATTTTGCTAGTATGTCTTCCATTTTATCGACTGAGCACAAGAAACCACCCAATCAACTATTTCAACTACCCAATAAAGTGATCAGAAATTTAGAATTTGGCCAATTTCACACAAATTTTAAAATATTCCAATTTCAAAATAGTCCAGAATAAACAATGCAGGTGTCCCGGCACTAAAACAACATTTCCTCTGTTCATTAGTTATGTTCACAGGCTTTACACATGAATTCCATTTTGAATTTTTATTCACACAAAAAACAAAGATTTACTGTCATGTAATATTGTAATAATTGTATAAATAATATCAGCGCATTCGTGAACTCACATCAAACCATCAGTTGAACGTGTATTGGATGGGTGACATGATCTGTGTACTTTTGAATATCAGCAAAAATAAAAAATTTCTGCTACTTTGAGCTCAATTTCAACTTATTTTCAGTCCTGAAACCAATCAAAATCATCTCTTTGTCTGTAACGTAACTTCCATTTTATCAAGTGAGACTAAGAAACCAAAAATACAACCAAAAAAACATACAAAAAATATACTGCAATGTCGAAATTTTAAACCAAAAACACAGTTGCATTTTTTTCTCATTATGCACTGTGTGCCTCAGGATTTTGTTATATGGTGATATGGTGCACATACCGCATAGACCCATTTTCTCATATCTAGGCCCAAATTTACTGCTCACAGCTTATATGAGTGAGCTGAGCTCATGGTGTAGTACTACAGCACAGACAATGAAAGGGTTTATAAGTTTTCCAATTACAGTATTATATGACAGCAATACCAATGTGGGTTAAAGTAAGAAAAAGAGTAATGTCTCATGAAATTGTAATAAAACAATTGCAAACAAACCAGCAATGTTACACAGTACAGTACAGTGGACCCCCGCTTAACGATCATCTCCCAATGCGACCAATTATTTAAGTGTATTTATGTAAGTGCGTTTGTACGTGTATGTTTGAGGGTCTGAAATGGACTGATCTACTTCACAATATTCCTTATGGGAACAAATTCGGTCAGTACTGGCACCTGAACATACTTCTGGATCGAAAAAATATCGTTAACCGGGGGTCCACTGTATATGGTCCAAGAATCTCCTTTTGATACTATACAATCATGAGGTATTCTATATAAAAAAATTAATTTTAACTGTCTTTATAAATATCAACTTTTAAATGGAATACTTGTATTCCTCAAACTGTAATTTACAACTAAAAGTGAAATATATTACATGTTAGCTAAGGCCTTGATGCGGTTCAGAGAGGGTCTTGATCGATGAGCAGACCCCTGAGTGGACTGGGGGATCATAGAACGATGAAGCTGGCGCAAAGATGATCGCAGCTCAGCCCACACTCCCACCATCACACCTCCACCCTCTTCAACAGCTTGCATTCTGATATAATTCACAAAATAACTACAGATTTCCTGTCAATTTACAACTGAATCATAATAAAATATAAGTCCTTAATTAATAATTTAGCAAGAATACTTGCATAATTTCAAAACTGATAAAAATTTAACATTTTCCTACCCCTAATTTTCAGCTATATAGAAATCCATATGTCTCTCCATACCTCATAACAAGAACACAAGAGCAGCACTGCAGGAGGCTTTTAATACAAATTATGTAAATTAGACATGTATCATCTGGGTATCTTTATTCCAGACATTTTGCCATCCAGTGGCTTTACCAATATAAATTCAAGCACATAATTAGAAAACAGCAGAACTATATACAAAAGATGAGGTAATCAATCCCTCAGCCTTGGAGTTGAAAAGTACCATAGTGCTCAAAGCTGAGGGACTTATTACCTGGAGTTTACCTGGAGAGAGTTCTGGGGGTTAACACCCCCGCGGCCCGGTCTGTGACCAGGCCTCCTGGTGGATCAGAGCCTGATCAACCAGGCTGTTACTGCTGGCTGCATGCAATCCAATGTACGAGCCACAGCCCGACTGGTCAGGTACCAACTTTAGGTGCTTGTCCAGTGCCAGCTTGAAGACTGCCAGAGGTCTATTGGTAATCCCCCTTATGTATGCTGGGAGGCAGTTGAACAGTCTCAGGCCCCTGACACTTATTGCATTGTCTCTTAACGTGCTAGTGACACCCCTGCTTTTCATTGGGGGGATGTTGCATCGTCTGCCAAGTCTTTTGCTTTCGTTGCGAGTGATTTTCGTGTGCAAGTTCGGTGCTAGTCCCTCTAGGATTTTCCAGGTGTATATAATCATGTATCTCTCCCGCCTGCATTCCAGGGAATACAGGTTTAGGAACTTCAAGTGCTCCCAGTAATTGAAGTGTTTTATCTCCGTTATGTGTGCCGTGAAGGTTCTCTGTACATTTTCTAGGTCAGCAATTTCACCTGCCTTGAAATGTGTTGTTAGTGTGCAGCAATATTCCAGCCTAGATAGAACAATCGACCTGAGGAGTGTCATCATGGGCTTGGCATCCCTAGTTTTGAAGGTTCTCATTATCCATCCTGTCATTTTTCTAGCAGCTGCGATTGATACAATGTTATGGTCCTTGAAGGTGAGATCCTCTGACATGATCACTCCCAGGTCTTTGACGTTGGTTTTTCGCTCTATTTTGTGGCCGGAATTTGTTTTGTTCTCTGATGAAGTTTTAATTTCCTCATGTTTACCATATCAGAGTAATTGAAACTTCTCATCGTTGAACTTCATATTGTTTTCTGCAGCCCATTGAAAGATTTGGTTGACGTCCGCCTGGAGCCTTGCAGTATCTGCAACGGAAGACACTGTCATTCAGATTCGGGTGTCATCTGCAAAGGAAGACACGATGCTGTGGCTGACATCCTTGTCTATGTCAGATATGAGGATGAGAAACAAGATGGGAGCGAGTACTGTGCCTTGTGGAACAGAGCTTTTCACCGTAGCCGCCTCGGACTTTACTCTGTTGACTACTACTCTTTGTGTTCTGTTTGTAAGGAAATTATAGATCCATCTACCAACTTTTCCTGTTATTCCTTTAGCACGCATTTTGTGCGCTATTACGCCATGGTCACACTTGTCGAAGGCTTTTGCATATAGTTCTACTGTCTTCCAATTATGCCCTTGAATTTATACTGATGGAGTGATGGACTGAATGGTGATGAGTTTTTTTTCTTTTTCGGGCCACCCTGCCTTGGTGGGTATCAGCCGATGTGTTAAAAAAAAAAAAAAAAAAAAAAAAAAGCTACTGGATAGTGAAACGTCTACAATAAAGATACCCAGATGTTACACATGTCTAATTTTTATCTTGTCAGTACTGTATATCATTCGTGTACAATACAAATTATACCTTGCTGCATACATGCACAGAACCGTACATTAATAAATATATGTGCATTTTTCATATACAGTACTGCATATACTGTACACAGTATATACTATAGTTCAGTCCTGACAAAAGAACAGAGCAAGAAAGCTCAATTAAGAGGATGTATATATCTTGGGTGGATGAAAGGTGTATTTTTTTCTTGAATATACATTTTGCTCATGTTGAGAGAAGGAAGAGAGGTCGATTAGGAGGGTGCCTAAATCTACAGTGGCTAGGTATAGGGGGTATATTGAAGGAAAGACGGTGTGAAGGAGGTACAAAACTGAGACATGAACTTGAACACCTAGTAGGCATGTGTGAACATGTTCAAGAGTGGAGAGGGGCAGTGTTTGGGATCTGACATGCTGTTTGAGTGTGAGGATAGTCATATCCAAGAAAAACATAAGAACATAAGAACATAAGAACGAAGGAACACTGCAGAAGGCCTACTGGCCCATGCGAGGCAGGTCCAAGTCTCCTACCGGCTTAAGCCAATGCACCCAACCTAGTCAGGTCAGGTCACATTGACTTAAGGGAGGAACCGGCAACCGACCTGGTAGCACAAGCTATCAGGTCTAACTCACACCCACCCACATCCACTCATGTATTTATCCAACCTATTTTTAAAGCTACACAACGTTCTGGCTAGGTTAGCCGACTTGAGTTTTGAAGGTGGGAATCACAATGTCTGCATTTTGCAAGTCAGTGAGGACATTGTAGTTCATTAAATTTGATATACTGTACTATATATATAGCATGTCCTTCTGGAAAGACAACTAGGAAGCAGGTGGTGAATCCATTTTCTTCTCTGGGTCACCCTTCCCTAGTAGGAAACTGCAAATGTTACAATATTAAGTTGGTGGTGCATAATGAATTTCATAAAAAGATTCTCTAGCCCAATATAAAAACAATCTTCTAAGAAAACAGTCATAATTCATAATTTTACTGGGCACTCCCATATAGCAAGACTTGCCATTCCTTTGTACAGTCAGATTTTTTTTGTTGTTGTTGTCCATTTTATCTGATATCTGTTGCATAGAAGGCCATTACACCAAGTAAAAGCCTGTGCAGATACTTTTTCAATGCATTAAAAATATTATTTTTTTTTATCATCACACTGGCCGATTCCCACCAAGGCAGGGTGGCCCAAAAAAGAAAAACTTTCACCATCATTCACTCCATCACTGTCTTGCCAGAAGGGTGCTTTACACTACAGTTTTTAAACTGCAACATTAACACCCCTCCTTCAGAGTGCAGGCACTGTACTTCCCATCTCCATGACTCAAGTCCGGCCTGCCGGTTTCCCTGAACCCCTTCATAAATGTTACTTTGCTCACACTCCAACAGCACGTCAAGTATTAAAAACCATTTGTCTCCATTCACTCCTATCAAACACGCTCATGCATGCCTGCTGGAAGTCCAAGCCCCTCGCACACAAAACCTCCTTTATCCCCTCCCTCCAACCTTTCCTAGGCCGACCCCTACCCCGCCTTCATTCCACTACAGACTGATACACTCTTGAAGTCACTCTGTTTCGCTCCATTCTCTCTACATGTCCGAACCACCTCAACAACCCTTCCTCAGCCCTCTGGACAACAGTTTTGGTAATCCCGCACCTCCTCCTAACTTCCAAACTACGAATTCTCTGCATTATATTCACACCACACATTGCCCTCAGACATGACATCTCCACTGCCTCCAGCCTTCTCCTCGCTGCAACATTCATCACCCATGCTTCACACCATATAAGAGCGTTGGTAAAACTATACTCTCATACATTCCCCTCTTTGCCTCCAAGGACAAAGTTCTTTGTCTCCACAGACTCCTAAGTGCACCACTCACCCTTTTCCCCTCATCAATTCTATGATTCACCTCATCTTTCATAGACCCATCCGCTGACACGTCCACTCCCAAATATCTGAATACATTCACCTCCTCCATACTCTCTCCCTCCAATCTGATATCCAATCTTTCATCACCTAATCTTTTTGTTATCCTCATTACCTTACTCTTTCCTGTATTCACTTTTAATTTTCTTCTTTTGCACACCCTACCAAATTCATCCACCAATCTCTGCAGCTTCTCTTCAGAATCTCCCAAGAGCACAGTGTCATCAGCAAAGAGCAACTGTGACAACTCCCACTTTATGTGTGATTCTTTATCTTTTAACTCCACGCCTCTTGCCAAGACCCTCGCATTTACTTCTCTTACAACCCCATCTATTAAACAACCACGGTGACATCACACATCCTTGGCTAAGGCCTACTTTTACTGGGAAATAATTTCCCTCTTTCCTACATACTCTAACTTGAGCCTCACTATCCTCGTAAAAACTCTTCACTGCTTTCAGTAACCTACCTCCTACACCATACACCTGCAACATCTGCCACATTGCCCCCCTATCCACCCTGTCATACGCCTTTTCCAAATCCATAAATGCCACAAAGACCTCTTTAGCCTTATCTAAATACTGTTCACTTATATGTTTCACTGTAAACACCTGGTCCACACACCCCCTACCTTTCCTAAAGCCTCCTTGTTCATCTGCTATCCTATTCTCCGTCTTACTCTTAATTCTTTCAATAATAACTCTACCATACACTTTACCAGGTATACTCAACAGACTTATCCCCCTATAATTTTTGCACTCTCTTTTGTCCCCTTTGATTAAAAATATAACTCATTTTATATACTGAAATGACTAATTTACAGAACAGCACTGCTTTAACAAGACAGTTGAGGCCGACTGAAAAATAAACCCCCAATTTAATGGCCTTTGATTTAACAGTCTTCAGAAATATGGGATGAAATTTACAGAGTCAATTTGAAAACAAATTCAGTTGGTTTCAGAATAATCCTTTATTTTTACAATCATAGCAAGACAAGCTTCTCTATCCGCCACAATCACCATTACCAGCCACCTGTGTCCTGCCCCATTAGTCTGTTGGGTTTACTGTACAAAAAATTCTAATTTTGTGCACTGCAGACACCACAAGACTGCCATGAATCTTCAGTCAAATAAATCACCCAACATTGATGAGATATCCCTTCCACTGCCTCATTACTGGAGCACATTGGCCACAAAATACTAAAGGGCTGCTAGTGGTGCTGGAAGGCAGAAGAAAAAGGTAAAGTAAGAACCTATGACGATGATCAAGATACAGTAATGTTAAATCAACTCTGAGTGGACATGGCGTGAGAATGTTGAGCGAATGATTTGAACATTTGTATACGTATTTTGAACATGCAAGGAAGCTGTATGAGTGTGTCCATTGCTAGTGAATGTTAATGAATAAAAGAATACAATCTCTGTACTGCTAAATAAGCTAGAGATGTTGCTAACACATTATACACAGTGCAGTATAGACAACCAAGCTAAACTGTTCTAAAAATACACTATTTTTACCTTATACATTCAGACATCTTCTTCTCTTTTTTAGTAAGTGTCTACAGGAGAAGGGGTTACTAGCCCATTGCTCCCGGCATTTTAGTCGCCTCATACGACACGCATGGCTTACGAGGAAAGAATTCTTTTCATTCCCCCAGGGCAAAGAAAATAAAGAAGAACAAGAACTATTTAGAAAAAGAGAAAAACCTAGATGATGTAATATATATGCAAGTGCGTGTCTGTGAAGTTGAAAAAGTTTTTTAGAAGGAGTAGCAAGAAACCCTTTATCTAGCGTGTTAGAGAAGAAAAAAAACCACAATACCTAATAAAAATGCAAAACAGTTACAGGTTTCGTTTCACAGTCATCTGGCAGGAACGGATACTTCCTGGGGGTTTGCTTCTACAACCCAAACCTTTAGTGTAAAGCACCCTTCTGGCAAGACATGATGAGTGAATGAGGGTGAAAGTTTTTCTTTTTCGGCCACCCTGCCTTGTGGAATGGGCATGTGTAATAAAAAAATAAAAAATACATTCAACATGGTTTGTGAATTAACAAGGTTATGTGGAGACAGCAACTATCCCGTCCAAAGCGAAATACTACAATAAGGGTAAACTAGACAACTGGCAGGACTGTTGAACTTTCCTTTCAGTCTCATAAAAACTAAAGATGATAGGTAAATCTTACAAACTGCTTACATACCTTTACTTTTCCTATGAGCTTCTTAACACTTTTAAATTTCCTGTAATATTTCCTTTCCAACCTAGGAGGCCTGGTCTGAGACTGAGCCATTGGAAAACAATCCCCAGAACCACTAACAGATAACCTGGTACACAAATTTTTAATTTAGCACCAAACTTATCATAGCAACCTAGCCCAACCTACATTTTTGCAGGCAATTTCGCCAATTTACAGTGGAGATTCATGTCTGAGGCAATGTGTGGTGTAATATAAGCAGAAAATTTCGTATTTGGAAGTAGAGAGGTGCGGATACCAAAACTGTTGTCCAGAGGCTGAGGAAGGGTTTGAGGTGGTTCACATGTAGAGAGAATGGAGGCGAAACAGAATGACTTCAAGAGTGTATCTCTGTAGGGGAAAGGGAAGCGGGTATGGTCGGCCTAGGAAGGGTGGAGGGGGGAAAAGGAGGTTTTGTGTGCAGGGGCTTGGATTCCAGCAGGCATGCTTGAGCGTGTTAAATGGAGTGAAGGAACAAATGTTTTTAATACTGACGGCTTTTGGGTGTTGAGCAAGAAACCCATTTAGAAGGGATTCAGGGAAACCGGCAGCCGGACTTGAGCCTGGAAGGGGAATTACAGTGCCTGCACTCTAAAGAGGGTGTAATGTTGCAGTTTTAAAAACGTAGTGAAAGGCCCCCTTTTGGCAAGACAGTGATGGAGTGAATGAGGAATTATTTCTTTTCCGGCCACCCTCCTGGTGGAATCGCCTTTGTGAAAAAAAAAAAACTAAAATGTGAGAATCGCAGGATAAATTTCAAATGAAATTCCATTGCCTACAATTGAAAAGGTTTCAAAATTCAAGAAAAAGTTTTTCTGAAGTATATCAATAAGTTTGCTTTACTTTACGATCCTCAAAGGCTGGGAGGTGAAGAGAAAGAAAATTCAGATATAGTATAAGAGAAGGTGCAAAATACAAACTTCAGTTTGTTATAAGTGAAGTGTCAGTATAGAAGTGGTTTAATCTGTTAAAAATAGGTGCACTATTAAGAATGTTAAATGAATAATAAGTATATTGGAGGCCACAGAAAAGCCAATAAAAAAATGATGATTGGTAAAGAAACATTATTATATTTAGAGGGGAAATGCTAAACCCTTAGTGGATATACAGTTTCTGAGGTAAAGGGAGTCAATAAGGTTTGATCCAGGAAGGAAAGGATAAGCTTAATTCATTGCATCAAGAACCCCTCACCAGCATCAAGGAACCTCCCATGAGGGGCAAAGGCTTTGAAAATATTTAGATCCCTGGCAATAGATTAACTATCACCAGGAGGCCTGGTCACAGACCAAGCCGTGGGGGCGTTGGCCCCCGGAACTCTCTCCAGGTAAACTCCAGATAAAGAGCACAGCTGATAAAACAAGTAATTTAAGGACTTACAGACCCTAATATAGCACAAAATTAAAAGGTGCACCAAGAACCACCTTTAGGTTTACCTAAGCTGCTCTCAAATGCATACAGTATAAATATAAACATTGTGAAGGATAAAGAACATAATTAAAAATTTTACTATACAGTACAAGGGTGTCAGAACTCTCTGACATTTACCAGTAGCAAACTATTGTTAGATTTTCCTGACTGATAGGGAATGTTGAGACATCAGTGAGATCTGCATTCAGTACAAATTAAGGCCATAAATTAGTTTCTACTGCTTAGTTTATATATATACTGTACAGTATTTGTTTAAGCTTTCTCACACATCATTATACTAAATAATCTGCACAAAAGGAATTTTACAAATAAAATCCTATGCTTATAGTGCTTTTACAGTTTTTGTTAATCTTGGAACACTTAAAATCTGGGATTCACAGTGTCTTAATTTATAAGTAAATAGAATCACCTGAGAACTGTAGAAAATCTGTTTTTTTTTTATTAATTTATTATTTATACACAATCTATACAATGGTATTCACTGCTATTTGCTGATAACCGAACACTACTGTTTACAGTACTAAAATCACTTAAGCTGATCTGTGAATAATTACATATGTTCCTCCCAGTGTTTTATTACATGTAACCTACATTATTTGTACTGCATAAAGAAATAAAAAATTGTATTTATTGTAATAACCAAGCATGTATATTACGTCAAAATGCTGCCTTAATAGAGATACTATGACAAACATTATGATCACACTGAAATATGCTAGACTATAAATCCCTTTTTGTGTCAGTATTCTAAAGATTTAGCTATTGACACTGAATGTTCACTGACACTGTCTTATTATAAGCATATTGTACTTTATAAGAAATATACAGTACAGCATAGCAGTTACAAGTCACCAGTTACTGTAAGTATTAAACAAAGGTTTGGTACTCCAGAGCGACTTACCCACCTTTTACACAGACAATCGTTATTAGCTCGGGCATTTCTGTCCATGTCCTTGTCTGGCACAGTCTGCAGGTCCTCCTCAATGGTCTCTGCTCCACAAGTACTTCTAACAGCTTTAGAATCCTCATGACATGGACTTGAATTATCAGGTTCAGTTTTGCTGTCCAACTTTTCCTCTTGTTTGCACGGATCACTGATACTGTTGACGGTCAAATTTGATAGTGCTATCAGACTACTTTCTGGTGAATTTTCAAAATTCACACTATGCAATGACAAGGTCTCCAGGGCTAAGGTAGTTTCGCAAACACTGCCATCTCTCTCTGGAACTTTTTCCTCGCTCTCTACGTCAGTTATATCACCTGCAGGTGAGGAACTGAGAACTTCAGTTACGTCACAACTATCATTTACCATGGTCTCTAGAGTAGGAACTTCATTCATGACATCTACCAACTGCAAATGATTATTTTCTGCTAACGTAGTATTTATAGGTTCCACAGTGAGTAAATTGTCCTCACTCTTGCTATCACTCTCTTCCTCCTCTGACTTTATCTCGGAACGACTATTTACACTTTTAGATTCACTGTCGTCTAAAATTTCACTAACACTTAGACCACCGTTTTCTTTCGTGTTTTGCAATGCAATATCGTCTAAAAGACCAACATCAGAAATGCTCAAATTTCTTAAAACTTCCGGAGTGTTCTCTACGGTCAAAGAGCTCAAGCATTCGCTTACGCTCAATACATCTACAATAACCTCTGGGTCTTTGGACTTGCTCTCACTAGAAGCACTCGAATCGTCTTGTAGTGCGTTCTCTGAATTTGACTCAGAGTGAGCACTATCAGTTTGGTTTGTCACTGCCATGCTTTCTAGGGTGCTGTCGTGCTGATGATCCGATGAGTGGGCGGAGGGGACAGACAGCTGGCTAGTAGGCGTCGACGACCCTTCACTGGCCGTTCTCATATTAGAGTCTGAATCGGGGGATGAACTCCTGCCCTCGACGCGATCGAGGTAGAGCGGAAGGACGCGGCTCGTGCCGGTGATGGCAACCTCAACTTCCCCATCTTGCAAACTCTGGGGTAAAGACCCGACAAACTCCAACCCATTCAAGGCGCCCTCTTCCAGATAAGAAGACTGATGTAATATTTCATTTATGAGCTCAGAAACCTCAAAGTTGGCCTCATCGTCACTCTTGTCATGGTTAGCATGGGGTGGTGGGTGGGGGCTGGACCCCCCTTGGTTACGACAGAGGAGTGGGGAAGTTAGTATGGGGTTCCCGTCTTCCACCACCCCATTCATCACCACCTCACCATTCTCACAGCTGCCTTCACTCCTGTTAATCCTGAGGTCACTCGGCAGGTTAATATCGCTAATCAGAGCCTCGGTTAATGTTAATTTAGAGCGGTTACATTCCTCATTTTCATCAGAGACTTGATGTTTGGTGGGCGCCTGGCTGCCTGCACCACCCACTTGTACATGACTGGTGGAGGCAGCAGTGGCCTCAGCGTGCCTCTCCATCACTGTCAGGTGTGTGTCAGGCCGTCAGGGCGGGCCAGGTCACTTGGAGGTCACTTAAAGAGGTCACTAAAGCCACAAAACTAGTGTGTGAGGTC